TGTATCGCCGAAATACGCGCAGATTCCGTTTATAGTGAAGAAATCGATCTTAGGGTTCAACAAATCGATCGAAAATCGCGACTATATCGCCGAAATCGCGACTGTATTCGGTTTAGGGTTCAGAAATTGATTTAGGGTGCAAATCAATTGGTGTTGGATCGGAAAAAATCGCGTCCCTCCTTTCGTTCAAGAAATCGCGTTTCAACTGATGAATTTCGATTAAGCGACGTGAATAGAGTGTGGGCTTGTTTTGCGAAATTTCAAATTTTGAAAACTTTCATTATTTCTGATTCGGACCACATATGTTTTAATCTTTTCATTTTAACCCTTTTACGTGTTTAATTAATCCTAACTATGCCACGTCATCTTCTCTAAATTATAAATATTTGATGAACAGTTTCAAGGCCATTTTCTTAAATGCTACTTGGGGCGACCGGGCAGCTAAATTTTCTCTATATTTAATAAAACCATCATTTATCTCCCCTAATATTTCATAAAACTATCGTTTACCTCTCCTGATTATAGCAATTTTGATAGTTAGTTTCATGGTCAAAAGGAAGTAGCGAATGGTTTTTTTTCAAATTTCAAAAAGATTATTGATGGTTTCTCATTCCTTATAGGCTTTGCTGATATTTCTTTAAATCTTAGAAGAGGTTAAAGTACAATTCTATTCTTTAAATGACCGTGGTTTAAGGCACTTTCCCCTAGGAGTGAGCACAGGTAGCGGTGAACTGGAATCGGAGATAGAACCGAAACCTGAACCGGAACCTACCCGGAACCGTACTGTGCGGGTAGGTTCCGGTTCCAATTTTTTGGAATCGATACTGTGCGGTTCCGGTTCCGGTTCCGTTTCTTGTTGTTGGAGGAACCAGAACGAACAAGAACCTGTAAAAAGGGTACCCTGTTTGAAACTGTAGGGGGTACCCGGTTTGGAATCGATTTTTTAAACCTGTTTTGGAACCTGGACTACAATGAATATTTGTGAAATGTGATAATTGAGGGTTTCTATTGTTTTATAAAAAAAAATTAAATAGAAAAGTTAAATTTTCAGAATAATCTAATTAAATATAATATTATACTATTACATATAATTACCCCATATTAAAAGTTTTATTATATAATAATACATTAATATTAAAGTTTTGATTAATTAAGTGAATAAATTGAATTATGATCCAATTAAAAGTATTTTACATTTTTAATGTTATTAAAATTTTTTTTTTAATAAAATAGTATATTTGATTAAGTATAATATATTTAGTTATTTACTCTCAATTATCAAGTTCTAAGTATATCTATAATAAATTAGTATTATTAATAATATATAATAAATTGATAAACATTAATAAATTTAATTACTAGTTAATATCATACTTAATCATTATACATACATTATAGTTAACTTATAATTTATAACATTTAGTATATTACTTAATTAAATAATTGAAATTTAATTAATTATAACATTACATTATAGATTTAGTATAATTACTTAGTCAATTATAACATTTTATTATAAATAATACAAATTTAATTAAATGATTAAAATTTAATTAATTATAATATTACATTAAAAATTTATAGGATGATTACTTAATAGTTAATTCCCTAAAACTTACATTAAGTATGATTATATATTAATTATAACATTACATAATTAAATGATTACTTGATTGATTATGACTTATATTATAAATATTAGTAATTTACTACATAAACATTAGCAAATCTTATTAAATGATTAGAAATTTAATTAATTATAACATTACATTATAAATTTATGTACGATTATGATTATTTGTAACATATATTTATAATTATTGATTACTTAATAATTATAAATTCTTTAAAACAAATTAATTATAAATATTATTAAATACTTATAGTAGATTACTTAATTCATTGTAATTTCACATTTCATTATATTAGATTAGTTGATTACATAATTAATTATAACATTACATAATTAGATGATTATTTAATTGATTATGACATTATTATAAACTTAATTATAACATTACATTATAAAAATTATTACTTATTAAATAATTAAAAATTTAATTAATTAATATCATTATAGTCAAATAATTACTTAATTAAATATAACATTATTACATTAATTATATTATGATCATTTAATTAATTATAGTATTACATAGTTAAATGATTACTTATTGTTATAAATTTATACATCACATTATAAATATTAGTAATTTACTACTTATTATTTATTACATTACTTAATTAATGATTAAATTTTAATTAATTATAATAACATTAAAGATCTATAATCTGATTACTTATTCACTATAACATTACATTATAGTATGATCACAATTATTATAATATTACATAATTAAATATTACTTAATTGATTATGAGTTTTATATTATGTTTTAGACATTAGTAATTATTATTACTACATAAACATTAGCACAATACTTAATTAAAGTGATTATAAATTTTTAATTATAATATTAACTTATAACATTTCATTATAAACATTAATTAAGCATTATATTATAATTAAATAATTACTCAATTAAATTATAACATTATTATATCACATTATATTATGATCACTTACTTAATTATAGCATTACATAGTTAAATGATTACATAATTAGTCAGAATTATAACATATATGTAAAACTAGTAATTTCTATATTATTACTTATTTAATTAACATTAAACTTAATTAATTATAACATTACCTTATATATTTATAATATGATTACTTAATCAATTATAACATTCCATTATAAACATTAGTATATTAATTAAATGATTTGAAATTTAATTATTATAATATTAAATATAGATTTATAGTATGATTATTTAATTCATTATAACATTACATTATACTATTATAGTATGATCATATAATTATATAACATTACATATTAAATTATACTTAATGATATGACATTATTTATAACATTAGTAATTATTTACTAATTACATAATACTAATTAAATGATAGAATTTTTTATTATAAACATACATTAATTTATGGTATGATTACTTAATTAATTATAACTATATTATAACAATATTACAATATTTAATTAAATATTAACAATCTAATTAATTATAATATTACATTATAATTAACCCTAAACCCAAATAGTATATTTGTTAGGGGTGTATTTGTAAACTTTTAAGATATTTTTGTCATTTTTTAAACTAATAGAGGGGTAATAATTTTTTACAGGGTACCCCGAAAGGAATCGGAACATCTACACTGTGGCGGTTCCGATTCTGGTTCCTTTTTTTGGGAACCTGCACTGTGCGGTTCCGATTCCGGTTCTCCTGAAAAATGGAGGGTACCCAGAACCGCTCACCCCTACAGTTTCCCCTTGAGGTTTGGTCCGTTTGGGTAGGCGACCTGATAACCAAGTATAAATTTTTATGATCATATTCATCCCCATATTTAAAGGCCATAATTTTCTCTCAACATCCAGTTTTAGAAAAGTTAGCTTTCACCTTAAAGTTTGAGTTAAAGGCAATTTCATAGAAATAAGAGGAGAAGAGACTAGAGAGAGAGGAGTTGTGGGAATGAGAAGAGAGACGAGAGATGTTTCAATCCTTTATTTGTTTAAATATTTCAATTGATTGGCAAAAATATCCCCATATTGATAAATTTAACTAATTTAAATGAGAATATATTTGTAAAGACAACACAGTCATGACTAGGTTTATTTTATGAATAAGTCGTCACCTTATAAGACTCAAACACAAGATCTTTGGATAACCAACTAAAATAACTAAAGTTTTGCCGTTTAATCATAAGAGATAAGACTAGTGGTTCAGTTATTTTAGGATTTGGTACAATATAATGCTATTGCAACACATCAATTTAAAATCTGTAATTCTTAACATGAAACTTGTAAAGAGATAATATCAAATCTGTAATATATATTTAAAGTAATATTACACTAACAAACTATTCTCATTAACTTTCTCTTACAGCATGTCAGCTCGCAATGAGTTTCACTTAATCAAATGCGAACTGTCACGTTATGTTTGTGAGAAAAAGTTGTGAAAAATGTTTATCCACTTATTTTATTCATATATTTATGTAGGGTTGTATATTAACTAAAGATATAATACTATACGTATAATTTAATAAATTAAATTGTATATATGAAAAAAAATAAGAATATTATGCGCATAAAAAATTAAATATATACCGTGACTGACATTACTTATTAATTGACATATATATGCACTATTGTCTAGCTAGTTGACTTCTATCTTCATTTTCCATTTATTTTGTATCACTTATTTTGTACATATGACTTCATATGCAAATTATACATATACATTTCTAAAAATAAAATATTAGTACATTTTTAAAATAATATTTTACATATAAAATTTGTTAAAAAAAAAAAATCTATATATAAAGCGATGAACATGGAACCATGAATATCTTGTTGAATTAAATATCACATAACTTCACAAGTGGTTCAACCTTTGCCATCTCAGGAGATATAAAGGACAGATTTCGACCTTTTGGATTGAAACCCTTGAAATGATAAAAATATCTTGATTTTTATAGTACATTTTCTATATGAAAATCATTTATTCATGGACTTCAATTTCCACAGTTAAAACCTTTTAAAATTCGCTTTAAAAAAAGGAAACTAACATTATAGATCTGATATGAACCGCCAATGCGCATGACCCATGATGCATGACCGCACGACTCACGAGTGGGTCATGCGACTCACGAGTAGCGCATATCAAAATATGATGACGTGGCTTTCCGATTAGCAAGCCTATCAATCACCCAATCTTGTTACTCACCACCCACTCTTTTCTGTGACTCATGAACCCGTGGGCCACAAAAACCCACTGAGTCACAACCAGGTACGTCTCCGCCCACTGAGTCAAGAAAACCATTTACTCTCACACTCACACGTTCCTAAAGTTTTATTCACTTGACAAAACTACCCTTCACCCCTCTTCACGTACCCAAAAGCATATTCCCTAATGCTAGGCTGTAATAGTAGTTTCCAATAAAGTTTCTGACTTTATATTACACAGCAAGAGCCTTGAAGGCTTGAACACCGATAAATACAGTTGTTCAACAAAGCGAAGGCCAATACCAAACAAAAGATCTCTGTCGAACAAAATGGGCAGGAAGTTCTTCGTCGGCGGTAACTGGAAATGCGTGAGTTCTTGATTCGGCTTATTGTAGCCGTTGATTACTCTGCACTGAATTTGTTTGATCAGATCACGAGTTCTGTTCATTTTGGTTCAGTACGGTGTATTGGTTATTTATTTATTTAATTTTGTTTGCTTTGAATTTGCGTGTAGAATGGAACCACTGAAGAAGTGAAGAAGATAGTTAATGTACTCAACGAAGGTCAAGTGCCATCTCAAGATGTCGTTGGTATGTGTTTGCCTCTTAGTATTTATTTGCTTATTATAAACAGTTTGCCAAATCTGGGATTAATACAAGAGATCTGAATTAGATAAGTTGAAATATTGGATAAGTCTACTTGCTACAAGTTTTTTTGGGTTAAATTTGATTAGGAGCTTTATGAAAAATTTAGATATAATTTGCTGTAGAACTGATGAACTTCTTTAATTGTTTTTGTGTGGTCGATTAGAAGTGTTAAAGTGTGTGATCATTTGATTTTATTGCAGAGGTTGTGATTAGCCCACCGTTTGTGTTTCTTCCTCTGGTGAAGAGTTTGTTGAAGCCTGATTTTCACGTTGCAGCCCAAAATTGTTGGGTTAAGAAGGGAGGTGCTTTCACCGGTGAGGTTAGGTATGTGCAAGTTGCTATCAGTAATTTCTAATTTGACTTGCGCTTGTCTAATTAAAACTAGAGACTGGTGATAACAAAATTTTATTGGACCACCAAACTGTAAGTAGTGGCTCAAAAAATCAACCATTTCAAGGTGGTTCTTATGTGATTTGATTCATTATCGGTCAAATTACGGCATGAATCGTCAATTAAACTCAGTTTGACACAGTACATATTGCGAATCGGGCAATTATCTATTTTGTTGAATCTTATGTTTTCTTTCATTGTAACATGTTTTGCATTGATGCACTGATTACTAAGACACTATTTGCATATGGAGCCTTTTTCATTCAAAATTCAAATTTGACGTATCTTGTTTGTGCAGTGCGGAGATGCTTGTCAATTTGGGTATCCCTTGGGTTATACTTGGTCATTCTGAAAGGAGACTTATCTTAAATGAATCAAATGAGGTAAGCAGCGTTTATTCAGAATTTTAGAATTCTCTTGTTGTTTTGATATGTCTACAGCTGGTGCTTCACATTTACTCATCTTTTTCTTCTTAGCATGTACTGCAATTAACTTTGCATCCTCTGTATATTTCATTCAGTTTGTAGGGGATAAAGTTAAGTATGCACTTTCTCAAGGCATAAAGGTGATCGCTTGTGTTGGTGAGACTCTTGAGCAGCGTGAGTCAGGATCTACTGTGGATGTTGTTGCTGCACAAACTAAAGCAATTTCAGGTACATAATTGCCACTGTGCTGAAAACTTGTGCAGTTTTGGAGGTGTTGTGTATTAATGCTATTGATTTCCTATGTTTTAGTTAGAAAGAACTATGGACTCTATTGGTGTTCTGTAATTGTTAATAACTTATTCTTAAATTCGTTCTTAATTACATTGTGTGTCCCGCATGTGGTTATATTATTATTTCACGATATTGTGTGTGGTACTAAATTTTTTTTTCACGAATTTGTCTGTCATCCCTTGATCTTTTTTTTTTTTTTTTTTCCTGATGGCAGAACGAGTCTCAGATTGGTCAAATATTGTTTTGGCCTATGAACCTGTGTGGGCTATTGGAACTGGAAAAGTTGCTACTCCAGCTCAGGCTCAGGAAGTGAGTCAGAGAGACCTTTTCCATATTTGTTGTAGTTATAATATTTTTTAAAATTAATTACATTCTCACTTTCTTTGCTTTACTTTGGATGTAGTACTGTTTCTCTTGCCTTTTTTGTCTGGATGTAATCTAGAGAATTTCTTGGAGTTGTTGTAGGGAAACAATTTGAAAGAAAACCATTAGATCTTTTGTTTCAGGAAATTTAGATGGCAGAATGGAATGTAGCAACCGTTTTCTATTGCTAAATTGATATGCGTAACATTTCTTATACTACGATTGTGGGTTTGGTTAGGTAAAAAAGATACTCGAGAAAAGAAAATATTGCTTCCGATTGAATTTACATAACAAAATAAAAAAGCTATATGCAACATGTAGTGAATTTGGGGTTTTATTCTTGAAGTGTCCCATTTGTAAACCACTTGATGGTGATGATAACTGTGGTCATATCGTCCCTTTTTTATTGCATCTGATGTATATGACAGGAGTCCTTCAGTTATATTCTGTGTGCTAATTTTTAGTGATAAAGTGGATTTTGTTGTATAAAGCTTTCAGTTTCTTAAGGAATAGTTTTTCATTCCTGTCTTATTTTCTGTATGATAGGTTCATTCTGAACTTAGGAAATGGCTCCATGCAAACACCAGTCCTGAGGTTGCTGAAACAACCCGGATAATCTATGGAGGTATCTCTTTTTATTTGTCCTTTGTGCTACTTCTCTTTATACTGAATTTAAGTTGTTCTTACAATGTGCAATATAAGTTATGTTTTGGCTTTTAGGTCTTCAACTTTCTTTTCTAATGAATGTTCAATCTTCTAAAGAAAAGTAAGATTTTTAAAGATTGAAAGTAAAGCTGATAGAACAAGAAATTATTTGTAGAAATGGTGAGATTTTTGTAAAATTTTGATGTTGACATCCCATTAACTGATTAATCTGTTCGTGCCAAGTTGAAGCTTGAGTATAAAGAAGCTACACTTAAAGTGTCATGGTTTTTTGTGCTCTATAATAAAAGGAACTCTCTGAGATCCTTTTTTGCTAATGTTAACAGTTGTGTTCTTGGATACGGGGCAGTAATGGCTGCGCGTATAAAAATCAACATAATACATTATATGTACATTCCTAAAGCTGCTGATGGTGACAGTTGTGGCAAACACTGCAAATACGAGATTGCAGATATTTCATTTTCATGTATCTTAAAAATGAGCATCTTGTGTAGTGTTAGCAAAAGTATTACAGCTTCCTTTCTGGAGGATTCACGAGTACTAGAGGATGGTGATAATGAAAACTAAATATGCTAGTTTCTGAAAGTGTTTAACTACTCTCTGCGCTCACACAGGCATGTTTTTATGTATGTATTTATTTCTCATTGCTTTTGGAATACCTGTTTCAGGATCTGTAAATGGTGCAAACTGCAAGGAATTGGCAGCTCAGCCTGATGTTGATGGATTTTTGGTGGGTGGAGCTTCTCTTAAGGTAATAATGATGTTTCCTTTTTCTCCTTTTGCTTCACATATACTGAAGTTTCTTCTACTTATATTCGGTGCTCCTTTCATTTACTGCATTCCAGCCGGAGTTCATTGACATTATCAAGTCTGCCGAGGTGAAGAAAAGTGCCTGAAGCTTGCTGAGTGTGGCAAACTTTTGTTCTATTTGACATGGTTTATAAGACTCTGGTTTTCAGCAGAGGAAAAGTGCCTGAGCTTGTTTCGGACATAGTTCCTGAGCCTCTGATTTTGGAAATACTTTTTTGAGGGAATAAGTTAATGCTTTTGTATTTCCATAAGCACTTCGAACTGGATTTTATCTGTCAATAAATCATTCTATTTCCCTCACCATGTGTAGTTTATTCTTGGCTGCCTGTGCTTCTCTCTCTTTGTTTATATTATCTCCTGGATTCATCGATATTACAACTGATGGTTATCATTGTCGTGAGATGTTGGAAGTATATTGTTTGTATTCTTCAGATATAATTAGGCTAAAATCATACATTTCTTCAACCTAGAAATAAGCCATAAAGTTGATTTTGGGTCTTTTATTTCACTCCAACAATGATTATGAAAGTTGAGTGTAGAATTAATTGTGGGAATATAGTCATAAAGTATAGAATCCCCTGTGAGGCCTTGGCTCTTTTTAACCTTTTTATATTTCAAATGGATAATATAATATTGTAAGTTGTAACGTAACAAAATCTTGAGTCAATTTTTGTATCCCTTATTAAAAGATTGTACTTGGCTGGTGCCATCAACCCAACTCACTAATTCTAATTTCAGACTAGTGATGGTTTATCAAGTACACGGACAGCCTATAGAGAAAGTCAATAGATTTATGGAAAAAANCAAGCTCAGGAAGTGAGTCAGAGAGACCTTTTCCATATTTGTTGTAGTTATAATATTTTTTAAAATTAATTACATTCTCACTTTCTTTGCTTTACTTTGGATGTAGTACTGTTTCTCTTGCCTTTTTTGTCTGGATGTAATCTAGAGAATTTCTTGGAGTTGTTGTAGGGAAACAATTTGAAAGAAAACCATTAGAGCTTTTGTTTCAGGAAATTTAGATGGCAGAATGGAATGTAGCAACCGTTTTCTATTGCTAAATTGATATGCGTAACATTTCTTATACTACGATTGTGGGTTTGGTTAGGTAAAAAAGATACTCGAGAAAAGAAAATATTGCTTCCGATTGAATTTACATAACAAAATAAAAAAGCTATATGCAACATGTAGTGAATTTGGGGTTTTATTCTTGAAGTGTCCCATTTGTAAACCACTTGATGGTGATGATAACTGTGGTCATATCGTCCCTTTTTTATTGCATCTGATGTATATGACAGGAGTCCTTCAGTTATATTCTGTGTGCTAATTTTTAGTGATAAAGTGGATTTTGTTGTATAAAGCTTTCAGTTTCTTAAGGAATAGTTTTTCATTCCTGTCTTATTTTCTGTATGATAGGTTCATTCTGAACTTAGGAAATGGCTCCATGCAAACACCAGTCCTGAGGTTGCTGAAACAACCCGGATAATCTATGGAGGTATCTCTTTTTATTTGTCCTTTGTGCTACTTCTCTTTATACTGAATTTAAGTTGTTCTTACAATGTGCAATATAAGTTATGTTTTGGCTTTTAGGTCTTCAACTTTCTTTTCTAATGAATGTTCAATCTTCTAAAGGAAAGTAAGATTTTTAAAGATTGAAAGTAAAGCTGATAGAACAAGAAATTATTTGTAGAAATGGTGAGATTTTTGTAAAATTTTGATGTTGACATCCCATTAACTGAGTAATCTGTTCGTGCCAAGTTGAAGCTTGAGTATAAAGAAGCTACACTTAAAGTGTCATGGTTTTTTGTGCTCTATAATAAAAGGAACTCTCTGAGATCCTTTTTTGCTAATGTTAACAGTTGTGTTCTTGGATACGGGGCAGTAATGGCTGCGCGTATAAAAATCAACATAATACATTATATGTACATTCCTAAAGCTGCTGATGGTGACAGTTGTGGCAAACACTGCAAATACGAGATTGCAGATATTTCATTTTCATGTATCTTAAAAATGAGCATCTTGTGTAGTGTTAGCAAAAGTATTACAGCTTCCTTTCTGGAGGATTCACGAGTACTAGAGGATGGTGATAATGAAAACTAAATATGCTAGTTTCTGAAAGTGTTTAACTACTCTCTGCGCTCACACAGGCATGTTTTTATGTATGTATTTATTTCTCATTGCTTTTGGAATACCTGTTTCAGGATCTGTAAATGGTGCAAACTGCAAGGAATTGGCAGCTCAGCCTGATGTTGATGGATTTTTGGTGGGTGGAGCTTCTCTTAAGGTAATAATGATGTTTCCTTTTTCTCCTTTTGCTTCACATATACTGAAGTTTCTTCTACTTATATTCGGTGCTCCTTTCATTTACTGCATTCCAGCCGGAGTTCATTGACATTATCAAGTCTGCCGAGGTGAAGAAAAGTGCCTGAAGCTTGCTGAGTGTGGCAAACTTTTGTTCTATTTGACATGGTTTATAAGACTCTGGTTTTCAGCAGAGGAAAAGTGCCTGAGCTTGTTTCGGACATAGTTCCTGAGCCTCTGATTTTGGAAATACTTTTTTGAGGGAATAAGTTAATGCTTTTGTATTTCCATAAGCACTTCGAACTGGATTTTATCTGTCAATAAATCATTCTATTTCCCTCACCATGTGTAGTTTATTCTTGGCTGCCTGTGCTTCTCTCTCTTTGTTTATATTATCTCCTGGATTCATCGATATTACAACTGATGGTTATCATTGTCGTGAGATGTTGGAAGTATATTGTTTGTATTCTTCAGATATAATTAGGCTAAAATCATACATTTCTTCAACCTAGAAACAAGCCATAAAGTTGATTTTGGGTCTATTATTTCACTCCAGCAATGATTATGAAAGTTGAGTGTAGAATTAACTGTGGGAATATGAAGTATAGAATCCCCTGTGAGGCCTTGGCTCTTTTTAACCTTTTTATATTTCAAATGGATAATATAATATTGTAAGTTGTAACGTAACAAAATCTTGAGTCAATTTTTGTATCCCTTATTAAAAGATTGTACTTGGCTGGTGCCATCAACCCAACTCACTAATTCTAATTTCAGACTAGTGATGGTTTATCAAGTACACGGACAGCCTATAGAGAAAGTCAATAGATTTATGGAAAAAAGGGAAAAGACAAAAAAAAAAAAAGAAGCTAGATGATAAATTGATAATAGTAATCAAATTGATCACAAAAGTCAATTGAAAGTTTGTTTGGTAATAATAATTAGCGAAACTAACTAAATATATGTTTGACAAAACCATTATTCTGTAAGGCATTAAACATGGCAACCCAATAGATATATTAGATTCTTAAACCCAATAATAGAAAGGAGGTGATGTTATTACAATATGAAATAGGAAAATGTAATTAAATAAAAAGTCTTAGGTTGCTGCACCTGCACCTAACCAAATCTTATCATTAAACTCTAAAATATTTGCTTCATTTTCAATATCTTTGTTTTAGTGGTTGTTCGGTATAATTAAATAAGTTCAATGTCTCTGCTTTCAAGATAGGATTCTCGTGCGCTCATTCTTTTTTATTTCACTCTCACGTTATCTATACTTTCTTTTAATAAAATTCTTATAACTACACCTATATTTTTCTGTCTTAAACTCATTAATATACATGTTAATTAGGGGTTTTTATAATAAACCTTTATTTTAGATTTGAAAATGTTATTAATTTAACCTTCATGTTTATCAATATTTTCATCAACTTAACCTCCAAGATTACATTAACGTCCCAACATTAATAACATATTTTGGATGTTAGATTGATTGAATATGAATGGATAATAAAAAATATCATTTCCTTCCATCTTCAGCAAAATAATCTAATGGTCTAAAGAAAATGGTAGAGAATGTCGTATTTCTAATACCAATAGGTATTTATTGAAAAAAAAGACGAAACACATGGTGATTAGGATAATATTTTCGGGATTAACTAACGATTGTTTACTACAAAACAGGCCAAACACATATGGGTTTAATATGAAAACTTTTTTAATTGTGAGTTTACCAATTACGAATTATCACATCAAAATTATGAGAAAAAGTGTATAAGGTTGAGTGGTAAGTATAACTATATTTAAATACTTTTATTATATGATTTTAGCCCAATCATAAAATGACACGTGGCAATAAATTTGAGTTGGGCGTGTGGGCTTTGTCAATAATTTGGAGAGGCCGATTGGATTAAGAGTAGTAATAAATGAGGGGCAGACTGCGGAGTCAAAAGGGTACCGAAGAAAGGAGACGCGTACCGTCGTACGTGAATTATTCAGTAGTAACAGTCAAAGAAAAGAAGTGCTGTGTGGTTTTTAAAGTCATAACCAAATTTTTATGTTTGGTTAGAAAAGTGGTTAAATTCGGTGCAACTTTCTCGTCATTACATACATCATTTCCTGTACATTTCATTAATATTTAATTTCTTATAAAATAAACCCTTCCTTAAATTACAAATTCTAAGACATTTTTAAGGGAATATTTTGTAAGAAATTTTAAAATTTTGACAAGAGATTTATAATAATTTTATCCAATATTGGATCATTTTTATTGAAATTCTTATAATTACTTTAAGAAGTCAGATATTCTATTATATAGAAAGAATTAATTTAATATAATTGAAAATTACATATATATATTATCTTTTGATAATAAATTAAATAGATATAACTGAAAAAAATCCATTTTTAATATTACCATGTTTCCTTAAGTCACATATTAAGAATATCTNGTTTTATCTAAATACTTTTATTATATATTCTAACCCAATCACAAAAGGACACGTGGTAATAAATTTGAGTTGTGCGTGTGGGCTTTGTCAATAATTTGGAGAGGCCAATTGGAATAAAAGTAGTAATAAATGAGGGGCAGACTGCTGAGTCAAAAGAGAACCGAAGAAAGGAGACGCGTACGTGAATTATTCAGTAATAACAGTCAAAGAAAAGAAGTGGTGTGTGGTTTTTTTAGTCATAACCAAATTTTTATGTTTGGTTAGAAAAGTAGTTAAATTCGGTGCAACTTTCTCGTCATTACATACATCATTTCCCGTACATTTCATTAATATTTAATTTCTTATAAAATAAACCCTTCCTTAAATTACAAATTCTAAGACATTTTTAGGGGAATATTTTGTAAGAAATTTTAAAATTTTGACAAGAGATTTATAATAATTTTATCCAATATTGGATCATTTTTATTGAAATTCTAATAATTGCTTTAAGAAGTCAGATATTCTATTATATAGAAAGAATTAATTTAATATAATTGAAAATTACATATATATATTATCTTTTGATAATAGATTATATAGACATAACTGAAAAAATCCATTTTTAATATTACCATGTTTCCTTAAGTCACATATTAAGAATATCTCCAATAATGTTCTTCATTTTAAAGAATATATTTCATATAAATAAAGAGTATTTTTGTCCATTTCTAAATATAAAGAGCAATATTTTTTTTTTTAAATTCAATGATCTCTTTAAATTTTAAGAAAGAAAATGTATTTTATAAAAAAAAAAAAATTTAATATGAGAGGTAAATGATAAATAATAAACTAAATGCATGAAAACTTGTAATTTATTATTTAAAATTAAAATAGAGAGTGAAATTTGACTCTTTAGATGTGGAGAGTCAAACTCACTCTTTAATTTATATTTAAAGAATAAAAACTCTGTTAGATTCTTGTTTTTATAGATAAATTCTTTATATTAAAGAATTTGAGTCATATAAAAAATCTTTTGGAGATGCTAAAATATTATATAATATAATTAATTCTTTATAAACATTAAATCACACACTCTGAACGTAAGACTTTTTCTTAGGAGACTTTTTCTTAGGAGACTTTTTCTAAGGAGGAAGCGTGCTCCTAATTTACAAATAAAATCTCTCCTCTTCCTTGGATAAAGTATTTGATGGATTATTAAGGGAGTGTTTGGCTAAGCTTATAAGCTCTAAAATTAAGCTAACATATTTGCTTATAACTTTTTTGAGCTTATAAGTTGAGCTTATAAACAAAAACAAAAAAGTTGGGAGGAGGTACTTTTTTTTTTTTTTGCTTAAAAGCACTCTGCTTATAAGTTAGTTTGACCAAGTATATTACCACATTATCCTTGTTTAATTTTAAAATTCTATAGTATACTATTATTTAATTTAGTACATTTTTTAGTTATTTTATAATAAAATATACTTATAAACCATATTTTACCAAAAACGTCAACTATTTATCAGTCACTTATAAGTATTTTAACCAGACACGTAATTGCTTAAAATTTCAAATTCTTATAAGCTAAAGTACTTGTTGTTTATAAGCTAATTTTTATAAGCTCAGACAAATATCCTTAAATAAAACGGTGGTTTTGGGTGCCGTCCAAGTTTAAGAATTAATTACAAAATTAATGGAAGCTTAATATTCTTCATTTACTCAAATTAAATATTAATTAATTGATTATACCAACTCTGGTTGGGGGAAGGGGAAGGAGGCGTTGTCACCTACGGTTTACTTTTCCAATTCTTGAACAGAAGTCAAACCGAGTTACAAACTTTCACACTATTGATTCCCATCGTAGGGTCCATATGAAACCGTGGCAGCTGTGTGGCTCATTTGTGGGGCCCATGTTCCCTTGACCAGCCATCCCACCACCACCCCCTCCTTTTTGAGTATATAATTACAATTTTTTCTCAATTAATTAGTTATGATTATAATTATTAGTAATGTCTCTTAATTTGCATACTCATAATTTGCTTCCATTTCCCATTAAGAACCAAACATAATCACGCCTACCCTATTTCCCAGACAAAATTAGATATGTAACCGACAATTTAAAAGTATAGTTATTGAGGAAATTTACTAAATAAAGTATATATTATATTTTTTATTATAAGATTCTCGCATTAAAAATGGTCCAACCTTTGATCAATTTAAATGAACTATATATATATTAACTCTTGCTCTGTCTAATTTCGTTCATATTTTTATCTGTCTCTTTATCTTTATTACTATCCGCTTGCCAACGTAAAGTAAACAATAGGCCGAGTCAACTATACGCTTTTGTCCTTCTCGAAGCTCAGGAAAAAAGAACTTTCTCAGAAGCCAAACAACCCAAATTACAACACAACTCCTCTCTAGTCTCTACCCACCTTTCTAATTCTCAACCCTTACTCTTTTTGGGGTTTTTTTTTTTTTTCGTATTTTTTTAATCAGTCAAATTTTGCAATTGGACGTTTCTGGTCGTGGCTGACAGCTAACCTTTACGTATAAAAGTTTTGCTTTCACACTTCAACTCTTCTCTGTTTCACGGGCCAACCTTGTTTGTACTTTGTATCATAGTTCCTTTTGTAGCTTTGTTTATTTGCTTCTTCATTTTTGGCTCTGGTGAAAGGGTGAAGAAAGTTTGAGCCTTTTGTTCATGGGGTGTTGCTGGAGTTTTGGAGTCAAAACTGAGAGTACTCTTCACGCTGGTATGATATATGATTACATTTCGGCTTCCTTTGATGCATGTTTGAACGGTTCTTTGATTCTTTTACTATGATGATTGATGCTTTGTTTGGTTTCAGAGAAATGATAGGAAAACATATAAAACTAGAACTTTGATTATCATAATATGGTCTCAACTCTTACTGAATAATTTATTTGTGAATTTGTCGTTGTTCCTGTTTGTTTTGCTTCAATTTGCAATGAATTTAGACGATATGATGTTTTTTTGTAGGAACAACTTCGAAATACCGTAACAGAGATGGGAATGGTTTAAGTGGGTCAAGCAGCAAGGTCTCATCGGTTTCAGTGCCTCGGACTGAGGGTGAGATCTTGCAGTCCTCTAATTTGAAGAGTTTCAGTTTCAATGAACTGAGAACGGCCACTAGGAACTTCCGTCCAGATAGTGTTTTGGGTGAAGGTGGATTTGGTAGTGTCTTTAAGGGGTGGATTGATGAGCATACTTTCGCGGCCACCAAGCCCGGGACGGGCATTGTTATTGCTGTGAAGAGGCTTAATCAAGAGGGTTTCCAGGGTCACCAGGAATGGCTGGTTAGTATCAATTCTTTTGCCCTCCTTGTTTCATTATATTTCTCTTTGTGTTGAGACTTTGCATTTTCCCTTATTTGTTAAAGCAAGCTCACTAGAACTAAATATCATTTACGGATAGTAGCATGACTGATTAATTCCTTTGCGGCTCTTGGTCTGTAGACTGAAATCAAACACTTGGGGCAGCTGTCTCATCCTAATCTTGTGAGACTGATTGGCTACTGCTTAGAGGATGACCACCGGCTTCTGGTGTATGAGTTTATGCCCAAGGGGAGCTTAGAGAATCATCTGTTCAGAAGTGAGTTGTTGATGTCCTCTTCTCTTTAAATACTTAAACCTTTATAAAATCTATCCAGGACCACTAAATGAAAGTTTTGTTGGAACAGGAGGCTCTTACTTTCAACCACTGTCATGGAACCTCCGGATGAAGGTTGCTCTGGGTGCTGCTAAGGGTCTAGCGTTCCTGCATAGCGATGAGGCAAAAGTGATATATCGAGACTTCAAAACTTCTAATATCTTACTTGATTCAGTATGTACAGCATATCCAACAGTTTGATGTTATGGTTCTTACATGAATTTAAATTATCTTAGCTTCGATCTCTGACATCCTTTCTCCTTATAATTGGACAGAACTACAATGCTAAGCTCTCTGATTTTGGGTTGGCCAAGGATGGGCCAACAGGTAATGCTAGCCATGTCTCCACAAGGGTTATGGGTACCTACGGGTATGCAGCTCCAGAATATATGGCCACAGGTATCTTTTCTTCTTCTTCTCAACTTACACTTTGTTCGTCTCAACATTTGAGTATATTTCATATCTTGCAGACTATAAACTTTTTCCATCAATCACCAAGTGGTTGTGCCCTAGTTGATATAGTCCCTTATATGACACAAAATTCTAGCCTATCCATTTGGAAAAATGACATAATTGATATAAACTGAATGCTTCTCTAATGTAACAGCATTGCATGATTTAAAATTTTTAAGCTTCAACTTTGCATCTTTTGGAACTTCACCTGATTTTCGTTAATACTCATGTGTAACCGTGTATTTTATTTTGGAGTTAGCTTTCTCAGCTGACTACTACCCTGTGTCCAGTCCCTAAGATGCTGCTCTTGGTCTGTTCGCAAGTCTAGTTCTTATTCTGCATTTATTTTTTTGCCCGGTTGGCGATTAAGCAGGACTTCTTACTAACCTGAAATTCTTTTTTTTTTTTCTTCTTTCTTATGAAGGTCATTTGACTGCCAAAAGTGACGTATATAGTTTTGGGGTTGTTCTCCTTGAAATGTTATCTGGCAAACGAGCAATTGACAAGAACAGGCCATCTAGAGAACAAAATTTAGTCGAATGGGCTAAGCCCTACCTCCAAAACAAGCGCAGATTTTTCCAAGTTATGGATGCTCGTATTGAAGGCCAGTATCCACGCAGTGGAGCATTAAAAGCAGTTACGCTCACAGTCAAATGCCTGTCATCAGAAGCCAAGTTCAGGCCAACTATGGATGAGGTAGTAAAAGCATTGGAGCAACTTCAAGACTCCAATGAAACAGGGGCCTCTGGAAATGACCCCCTTAAAAATTTTGATCGCAATTCAAAAAATGATCCCAGAAATAACAGAAAGAGGCTTAGTGATGAAAATCTCAATGGAAAAGCTCCCTCGCGGTAGGCCACAAACAACTTCTCCCTTCGGTACATAAAAAAGAAGAGAAACTTGATTCATGCTTTATTGTTTTCAGCGGATTCAAAGGAAAATGGTGGTGCTATTTAGATGAATGTAATACCTTGAAAATGTGCATGTACAAACAAATAGTCGGTCCGTGTACAGCCTTCTCTAATATCTTGATTGTCATTGCTTTTCCTTTTCCTTTTTTATTGGAATTTCAAAGTGTTTTTGACATGCTTCTGGCACTTGATTAACAGCCTGCCTGCATATTATCAATAGCAGAAATTTGTGTTAGCAGAAAACTTGATGGAACTATTGTGTACCTGATGAAACAGCCAGTGCAATTATCCATGTAACTACGGTCCAATTTGAATGTAAATGAGGCTCCAAGTCCAGTAACATACATCTTCTTAAATGCTTTGCGAAGATGCCAAATAATCCAAAAACTTCAATCTCCAACGAAGAAGTAGCATTATTATTCGTCAAATAATATCGTCACAACTGAATTGGACATCAAGATTTAATAAATCAATGTATAAAATAAAAACTGAATTATTAAGAAGTCAGAGAACCCCATAAACTGATCTTCCCAATACCACATCCCTTCTCGTTATAATTTCTCCTACCTGGAACACTCTTGGCTTTACTTCAAAATAATTGAAAGAAAAAAAAGAATAATACCATTTGTATAAATTTGTAAAAACTTTTTCTACAACCTTATATGTCATAAAATAAACGGATGAATACATATAAAATTAAATACTTAATAAATTAGATGAATGATGTGTCAATTAAAGAGTGATGACAGTAAGGTTGTATGAAAAAAGTTTCTATAAGAAAAAAAGTTGTGAGAAATTTTGGTTATATATATTTTAAGAATAATACTCTATATATAACATTCTCGTACAACATTATGTGGTAAAAAGATGATTTAGTGGAAGTTTAATTTTAATTTAAAATTAATCAATCATATTTTGCTATATAATATTGTATGAAAAATATTATATGTATAGTATTATTTATATTTTACAGTGATTTTTTTTTGTTTCCTTTTAATCTTCATTCCTTATTTTAATAATCTTGTTATTATTACTAACCCTTTTAAGCATGGAGTTCATTATATGCGTCTTGCATTTTAGTTATGGGGAGATATCTACTATATTTACGTAATTATTTTAGTCCATGGATTTATAAGGGGTTACGCGACATTGAAGAATAGGCACGTCTGAAAAATACGTTGATTTTGATATATAAATAAACCCAATTGTCAATAATTAATATTTGTGTGTACCAATATTCGGATGTTGATTAGTGAGATATATAAGGGTATTTTTGTCTTTACAGCCGAGGGTTGGGGTTTTAGCCGAAACGGACATGAGATATCGAAACCAGAGGTTTTAAAGAGAATTGAGGAAGATAAAGATGATGGCCGTTTCAATGGCTCTGCTTCAGCACGTGTTCTCCGTTCCTTTGGCACGTGCAGCGTTGCGCCCTCGCTGTAGCCTCACCGTTTCCACATCTTCGCGGCGCAACCTATCTGTTTCTCTTCCCTCACGTGCTCCTCACGTGGACCCCCACGTCCTCCTCGGCATGTCCGAGCAGGAGCTTCAACAACTCGCCGTCGACTTCGGCCAGGTAGCTAACCAAAATTAAAACAAATTCTCCTTCAAATTCAAATGTTCCACGAAATAAAAATCACTTTTTTTTTTCTTTTGGAATTTATAATTTAGCAAAGCTATAGAGGGAAGCAACTTCACCATCTTATTTACAAGAGAAAGATCAACAAAATCGAGGATTTTAGTCAACGTGAGTATAATTTTTTGTTGCTTTTTAGTATAAATTTCTATATTTTGCTTATTGTTTGTACTTGTGACCTTTTTTTGTTGCTTTATATTTTGCTACAATGAAGTGCCGCAGGCGTTTAGAAATGACCTTCAGGAAGCCGGATGGACGGTTGGCTGCTCACCAATTTACCGCACGGTCACTGCAGCTGATGGAACTATTAAAGTATGGTTATTGCATTTGCTTAGTGTTTTTAATTTCTTTTTAATTTTCACAGTTTGTTGTGTTTTGAATTGATGTTATCATTTGATTTTATTATCTTATGAAATTCAGTTGCAGAATTTGTTTAATAAATGTTCTTAGCTTTCGAATTTTCTTTTCTTGTTGATGTTGTTTATATTTTTATTGATAATTTTTATGTGTTGCTGATCATGCAGTTATTGGTACAACTAGAGGACAACAGATTGGTTGAAACTGTTGGCATACCGGTTGAAGACAAGAAAGGTTTGATGCGTCTTACTGCGTGTGTGTCGTCACAGGTGGTTTTTTCACATAATTTTTTAGCCTATGAGGATTTATTTACCTAAGCATGAATACTTTTATAATAGCCTGGCTAACTTAATGTGTTTTCTTTGGTTATTCAGGTAGGCTGCCCATTGCGTTGCTCATTCTGTGCCACAGGGAAGGGAGGGTTTTCAAGAAATCTTAAAAGACATGAAATTATAGGGCAGGTGCGGTTTTTTTTTTTTTTTTTTTTTTGTCTCTTCTTGTTTGATCATCAAAGTCCTTTTTCTGGTATTTCAGCGGCTACATCATTCTGAGAACAAAGTAAAAATCAAGCTTTAGTGTGAAAAAAAGTTGGCTTTTATCAATTTATCATGAAAAAGTAATTGGATCCAAGCAGAATCAGTTCATTCACCATGATTTACTGTTGTTAATGTTTATGCAGGTTTTGGCTATTGAAGAGATCTTCAAGCATAGGGTGACAAATGTAGTGTTCATGGGAATGGGTGAGCCAATGTTGAATCTTAAATCAGTACTTGAAGCACATCGATGTTTAAATAAGGTGCTTTTACAACTATTTGTGCAGGTCATCTAGGTTTTTCATTTCATTTATTTTTCCTAAATAAGTGTTTGTCCCTATCTTCTCATTTAACTTGGTTAATACTGCTGTTATGGATCAATAGGTTTCTTTAGACTCAATTAGCTGTTAGTTGATCTGTGTTCTAATTGATAGGATGCAATCAAATAAGGTTTTATCTGAGAAATTCTGTTGTTCTAACTGTCCATTGGAATTCTTCACATTTAAGAGATGCATATCTCTTGTCTAATGAGTAAAACATGCATCACATGCCATGTACTATGCTGGTCAAATAATGTTTATGTCTTGTTTTACTTTATGAGCAGAAAAGAAAATGAGAGACAAGAAAGATAGAAAACAATTGTAACTTGATAATTGCGGGGAGAGTTGTTATAAGAATTCAGTTTATCTCATTTAACATGTCTGCCTCATGTTTACTATTAAACTGTGCAACAACTTTCAATATGTGGGTTTTCAGTGTAAACTCATTTGCAATGGACTGTTCTTTATTTTAAAGGATGTGGAAATTGGACAAAGAATGATCACAATTTCCACTGTGGGGGTTCCAAACACAATTAAAAAGCTGGCTTCTCACAAACTTCAGTCGACACTGGCAGTCAGGTGTGGTACTGTATTTAGAAAATAAGAATATATGGTGCTTTTCGTTTCTAAATTATTCATATTATTTTTTCTTCTTCACCAAGTGTAATGATGTACGTTCGGGTGTGACCAAATATTGGTTTTCCAGGGTAATCTCCCCTCTTTGCTCTGCTTTTGGGTTTTAACCCTACTTTACCCTTTAATTGTTGAGCTTTTGAAGCAGAGCATATTGGTCAATGCTTCTGTGATGTAAATGTTTCTTCCAGTTTGAAGGATGTATACTTACTTTTCATATTTTCCCTTGTGCACTAGTTTGCATGCTCCTAACCAGGAACTTAGAGAATCAATTGTGCCAAGTGCGAAATCCTACCCTCTGGAAGCAATTATGAAGGATTGCAGGGATTACTTTGTTGAAACCAGTCGACGGGTTTCCTTTGAGTATGCACTATTAGGTACTGAAGTTTCACTTGGCATAAATTTACTTCCCCTTCTTGTTCTTTTGTGCTCCTAAATGAAAATATGAAAGTAATATAAATAGCCCTTTTCTTTAATATTATTAATTATTGGTGATCTGTAGCTGGAGTCAATGATTCAGTAGAGCATGCTGTAGAACTTGCTGAGCTACTTCACGAGTGGGGACGTGGTCACCATGTGAACCTGATACCTTTCAATCCAATAGATGGCTCTGATTATAAACGCCCGTATAGAAAAGTGGTTTGTTGATAACCATATATCATTTTCTCCATTTTTGACAATAACCCTCGTTTTTTTTTTTTGTCAATTTCTTAAGATCGTTCCATTTGGCAGGTCCAAGCATTTTCGGCTGCTTTGGAGTCTCGTAAAATAACTGCTAGTGTACGTCAAACCAGGGGACTGGATGCTAGTGCAGCTTGTGGTCAGCTAAGAAATGAGTTTCAGAAGAGTCCTTTGCTCTCTGACTCCAAGAGCTCAGAATCTGAAACAGACAACATTGCAGTTGCTTGTTGATTGATGCCAAACATGCATTCTTTGCTACTCTGCGGCTCTGCTTCAAGACGCTTGATGAGAAACTGCTGATTGACAAGGCTCATTGAAGCTCTGCTAATCGCAAACAGTAATCGTTGTGAAAGCTGCAAGAATAGAGTTTCCTTTGTACATCAGAAATGCTGTTAAGATCTCCAAGTAAACATTCTCGCTTCCCTTTCTTGCTGGAGATGCTGAATAATTAGAGGGCTTGCAAAGACGCAAGTGAGGATTAGCAAGCCCTTGTATTTGGGGTTTCATTATCAAATGAGAGCAAATTCATTGTAGCCTTCTGATTAACAATTGTGACTCTCTCTTGCTTGTACCAGTAAAATTTTTGTTGGTAATTTAACAGTAGAAAGGTTGTCAAATTAGCCCCGAGTTATTATTGCCCTCCAATGTAATCAAGATAATTGCACTATGAATAACATTTTCAAATAATCAGAACAAATTTCTAGCTAATTTACTATTTGGAGTTGGACAATTATCTACGATGTTTTTAAAAGAAAAAAAATAGTAAAATACTTGCTACAACTGCGACAAACTATATTTTTTTTTTTATTTAAAAGAAAAAATAATTGTCGGTCCGGGCCGGGCCGCACAAATTAGGGGCCCGATTTCTAGGGCTTAAAAAATGAAAAAGTTATGCATAAAAGCAGAGAGCAACCATCCCAGTTGACGGTAGACTTCAGATCTAAGTAAAACTTTCTCTCCAAATCGCTCACCCCTGCCGTCGTACTCGTGTAGGTAAGCTTACACCTTTGTATTTTCTCTTCATATCATTCATGATCCAAGAGAATTTTTTTTTTCTTTGTTTGCCTGATGAGAAATCGCCGGAAACCGAAGAGAAAGCACTTTTTTTTTTTTTTTTCGCTTAATTCTCTCTATTTTTTTTTCTTCTTTTTGTAAATTCTTCGGACTTCTCAGCTTGGGGATTTTTGTATATTATCTCTTGTTCATTATATGAAAAAGGTGAATTTGGTCAAATAAGTCAAAAATATTGTATTTAGGGATTGTTGAGTAATTTGGGTGTTTTTCAGAAATAGATTATTATTATTATTATTATTATTATGGCATGGATTTTGTTTGGTTGATTGACATTATTTTATTAGTTTTTTTTTTTCACACTTTAAATGGATTCATTTATAGATTGTTCTTTCTTGACCTTGACTGCTTTCAAAAATGTAAAGATGAATCTAATTTAGAGGTGAAAACTTATTAATGGTAAATATCAGATCAATTTTGTTTTACTACTTTTTTCAAAACTTCATCTGCTTAGGGCTGACTTTAATTGCTAATTGATGTGAAATATGAATTCATTTACTGCAGTATCATGAGAAGGTACAGCCCACCATACTATAGCCCTCCCAGGAGAGGATACGGAGGTAGAGGAAGAAGCCCTCCAAGAAGGGGATATGGTGGTGGTGGCGGAGGTTATGGAAGACGCAAGGAGCAGAACCATGGAAGCCTTTTGGTTCGAAATATTCCTCTTGATTGCAGGTAACTTATTACATTGAAGGTTGTAACTTGGAACCCAGGGTTGATACAGTTAAGTGGCTTGAAGTATGTTTATTGCTATTTCAGGCCAGAAGAACTTCGAATTCCATTTGAGAGATTCGGGCTTGTTAGGGATGTTTACATTCCCAAGGATTATTACACTGGGTGAGTTTACCGCGTGAGAGTATGATACACCTATATTGTTATTGCCTTTAATCTTTTAATTGAAAATGAAAATAAAAGTTTACAAGGTGGTCCAGGTGTCTCCTGTTGGACAGCTAAATGTTTACAAAAAACTCGAAAATCATGTGTAATCTTTGCAATATGAACACCAAAAACAGAGAAAGATTACAGAAGCCCATAAAGCCACAAAAAAGCAGACCACATGGAGAAAAAATGAGGTGTCTTGGAAATCTTTTGCAATAGATGCCCAACGAGCAGCAAAATATCTGGTTTATCTGGTTTTCTCCCACTAAATTCCAACCTATGTTGATATGCTATTATCGTTATAAGAATTAGTTTTAGTTGTGTTTGTCTTTAGATTGACAATTAGCTTCATCCTCGAGGTCAGCTCTCCAGAACTCAGTTTACGTAGACAGGGTTAACCTCAAGTTAATTTGCTTGACTAATTTGACATTTCACTATTCAACACCTAACTTGAAAAGTCTTTCTTGTTAATATATTCCACTATAGCTTTTATGTTACTTATCACTTTATATCTTAAAGAAGTTTTCCGTGATTAAATTTCTTTCAAGTATGATTTAATACAACATCCTAAAATTTTTATATATCAATAATCAAATTGAGTCAACAGTCAGAACCGAATGTGAGCCTCTCTTGGTTAATTTACTGTTTGATAAAGTTGCTGTCAATTCTATTATTTTTAATATGTTGTTAGAGCTTTGAAGCAGAAATTTGGAATCAACAATTAGTTAGAGTCCATAGTTCTTTTAAATTTTCACATGCTACTTATTTCCTAATTTCACTGTACCATCCTCAGTTACATTATGCAATGAGGCCTGGAAAGATATGTCCACTGAATAAAAATTATGAAATTATCCAGGCGTTTGTTTCTTTTTTTCATAGCAAATTAAAGTTTGAACTGGTTTGTCAGGGGGTATGTTGGTTTGAAGTTAAGTTAAAACAAGCCGAAGCCCCACATTTGATGAAGACCTACTGTTTATCATGCCTAACTTATTGGTGTCAAGGGTGTTAAGAGTAATGTTCAAATGAAGAGTTATCACATTTCAAGGCCTACAGTTTATCATGCCTAACATAGTGGTCTCAAAGGGTATAAAGATTAATGTTCAAATGAAGATTGTTCCTTTTTTTGAAGAGGAACTTTATAATTTCACAATCAATAGAAGTCTGATGAGGAAGAAGATTGAATCTTGCTCAGTTGAAGAGTACTTGAGGAGTTTTTAACTTTGGGGGAAACGATGAAGTCAAGTGCTTCTTATATTTACAAGCATGTGAAGAATTTTGAAGTCACTTCCCTCTTTTCAAGTTGCCTTTCATACTTGGTTGTTAAAGAAAAGGTCAGCCACTTAGCTTGCTTTATGTAAATTCGGTGCCCACACATAAGGTAGTGCGATTCAGGATTGATATTTAGATATGTAGAAAAAGGTAATTATGTGATGAAACCTTGGCAGTAACTTAACATTGAAATCTGGCCAAGTAACTCTCCTCAAACAATGTTGTTACCACAGATTTAGACTTGTTTTAAATGAAGCCATGCTTTGCCTCGTTTGCAGTGAACCTCGAGGGTTTGCTTTTGTGCAATTTGTGGATCCTTATGATGCCGCAGAAGCTCAGCATCACATGAATGGGAAGCGCTTTGCTGGGAGGGAAATATCTGTTGTTGTTGCTGCAGAGACAAGGAAAAGGCCAGAGGAGATGCGCCACAGAGCTAGGGTCAGGTAATCTCTCTACCTTCTACCATCCTCTTCCTTTATGCTTAAGTGTGTTACTTTTTTTAATTTTTTTTATTCGTTTTAAATTCTGTAGTGGAGGATCAAGCTATGATGGACCAAGATCATCTTATTATGGTATGTGTCTTTTACTGGCACATTTTTGCTCCAAATTAAGATGGTATGGGAGTTAGGAAACTTAAAGTTGGGTTCTCTGGGTTTTGAAGCTCTTGGTGGATGCAGTATAATAACTTTGCTCGCAATTTTTATTTAGTGATATACTTAATTATTATTATGGTCTCAACATTGATTTTGTATGTATGCCCTTCCTTTTCTTATTGTGGTACATATATATAGAAATCTTTCTTAATTGGTCTCTGTTCTGTATATAATATGTTTCAGGACGTTCTCGGTCACGTTCAGTATCCCGTTCACGCTCCCCTCGACATCCTCAAGGTTCTAGAGGTCGATATCGCTCAAGGTAATTGATCAAATTATTCTCATCTGCCCACTATCTCCTCCTTATGCCTGCTGATGTGGGTGAATACATTTGGGTATAATAATTTTGTTAGGTCCTACTCTCCTGTCCCAAGACAACATGAACATTACTCTGTTTCCCCAAGGAGAAGACACGCTGAACACCCAAGGTCACCTAGAGGTCCTCCACAAGAGCGAGTTGTTGAATACACTCGCAGGTCATATTCTCCTGCTTATGACGATGCTGCTGATCGGAACCATGGCAATGATTATGTCGAGTAAGTGGAAGACTCTGCCTCACTGATTTAATGTTGTAGCTTTACAATGCAGTGCAATACTACCATCAATATATATGATTGTTTCACTATTTTGGATATGGAATTAAAGCCATGGTTGTTATAGATTTCTCTGTCAGATTACTGTTGATTTACATATTTTATGGTGCATGCCACTGGCAAGGGGGATGAACCACTGTTCTTAGATAGAGATGTCAGGTTTTGATTTTGTTTTACATGCCATCTACTGGCCTGCACTTGCAAAGGTTGATGTTATGCTTCTGTTTATTACATTCTCTCACTCAAATAATTTGTTGCAGGAAATCTGCCTATGAGGAGGGGTCCAGGGCTCATTGGAGGGCTCCACCAGGTGGCGGAGCATCAAGGTCACCCTCTGGTTCTAGATCTAGATCTGCTGATTTGTCGCCTAGACGCAGTAGATAATATAAGGCATTAAGACGAAGACATATTTGGAGACTGGCTTTTAGATTTTAGTTCTGATATTTTAGCTCTTTTCAGGTTGTCAAGAAGCAGTTTGTAGCATTTTCTCCCCCAAATTTATGCCTCTTGCAGACAGTGAAAGCCGCAGTAATAGGCTTGATTATATTTGTGTGGAAGAAACTGTAACCAATTGCACCAGTATCGCCGAAGTCTTTGATTTTCGTTTAGATGACATCTTTATTGATTAATAGTCATCAGTTCCAACCTTAATATTAACCCTAGATTTCTATGGCTTTTGCATATTCTGTGCTTGTATATTTTATCAAAGGTTTGCCTTCAATTTGTGTTCTCAGAATAGTACCACATGGTCTAGACTACTTCCCAGGGGAATTTATGGATGTTTCCAAAATCCTTTTTTAAGTTAGGAGTGGTTTCCCTTAATTTAATTCGAAAAGCAGACCTGCAAAGAATTTTGTAGTAATGGGGTTTGAGCCTTTTCATGTGATGTGCTAGTTAATATGGGAAAGAAAGAAATGTTTGTTCTATTAATTTTTTTTTTATCATTTTTGATAACCCGCGTGTTAAGACTAATTTATAGGTATTTCAATTAATCTGCGAGATTTATTAAATATCCTACAAGTTCAATAGATCAGTTAAGTTATAAATGTGATAGATGGTTTTTTTGTGGCAGTTGAAGTGTCGAACATAAGATTTTTGAACAATTTACCTACATGAGTCGAATACAAAACTTTTGAATAACTCATCCATATGACTTGAACACAAGTCTTATGGATAACTCACCTATATGATTAAAATCTTGTTATTTTCGTCTAGCTACAAGCCTTGTTTTAAAACCTGGACCGGTTGATTCGACTAGGAATCGTCTTTTACTTTGGTTTGGGTTTACATAAAATCGGAAATATCAATAAATCTGTTTTGGACCGGTAATGGATCAACGGAACAGTATAAAATCGTCGATCTGACCAGTCCGAGGCTTAAAACGGTTCATCTAATTTAAAAAAAATTCATATTCCTAAATTAATTTCAGTACCGTTTCATTATCTTATATTTTCATCTTCAATTGTAAAGAATAAGAAGTAAGGGGAGGGGTAGGAAGAAGAAAGAGAAGAGGAGACACGAGAAAGAGTAAGGAAGAAGATTAGAAAAAAGAAAAAAGGAGATGAAGAGAAAGAGAAGGAAGAAGAAAGTGAAGAAAAATTACAGTAGAGGAAGAAGAAAGAGAAAGGGGAAAGTGACGGAAAGTGATGGGGAGGGAGAGAAAAAAGAAAGGAAAAAGAAAGAAATTGATGGAGAGTGATGGCCTGGTGGGGAGAGGGAAAGAAAAGTGAAAGACAGAGCTGATGGGGAGAGAGAAAAAATAATCAATAATAAAATTTGAGAGTGTATTTACTTTATTTTAAGCTTATAGGAGTTTATAGGTAAATTTTAAGGATGTATTTGTTAGTTTTTAAACTTAAACCATTAATGGAATTGTTTAAAGATGTGATTGTTATATATCGGTCAGATCGCCTGGTCCAATCGATTGGACAGGTCAACCCGCAAATTGGCTCCTTGACCGGGTCAACTAATGGTCCGGTTTTGAAAACAATGGCTACAAGCTAACGCATAGGCTTTCCAAATTTCTCCTTAGTTGTGGTAGTTGATTTGAAACTATTTAGAGGAATGTAGAGGCAACTATGAGCTAAAGCAGTTTGATCTCAAATAAATAATAAAGAGAATGAATTCAATCCAGAGAAGTAGATAAATCATGAGAACAAAGAACTCTGTCAAACCCAATTTGTTACAACCATGTTCAAACGTGTTCTATAATCACTTGGAAAAATTTAAACAAATTAGAAAAATGTAAAAAGCAAACAAGACTAAGGACAAAGGAAAGAGTGTTCTATAATCACTTGGAAAAATTTAAACAAATTAGAAAAATGTAAAAAGCAAACAAGACTAAGGACAAAGGAAAAGAGATCCCAATTGTAAATAACGTTTTAAATAATCCAATTTGACTAAAGATGGTCAAGTTCATTTTAATGGGATTGACCTCTTTTGTCTTTGTAACATCATTATTTAGAAGCTTAGGGTGTCAGACCAAGATATTAATGTTGACCGGCCCAACCGGTTGGACTGGTCAACCCGAGACCCAGGCAACATATCAAGTTTCTCAATGGGTCGGTTTTTAAAACAGTGGTTTGAGCATTTTCATGTGATGTGCTAGTTAATATGGGAAAGAAAGAAATGTTTATTTTACTACACCAACAATCATCTCTCATAAACTTTATTTCACAATCTTGATATGACAGTTCGTAATTGATCAATTCACAACGAGTCCCATATGGGATCTCATAAAATTTCTCCTTAGTTGTGGTCGTTGATTTGAAACTATTTAGAGGAATGTAAAGGAAACTATGAGCTAAAGTAGTTTGATCTCAAATTAATGCTGAAGAGAATGAATTCAATCCAGAGAAGTAGATGGACCATGAGAACAAAGAACTCTGTCAAACCCAATTTGTTTGTAGCATGTTCAAATGTGTTCTATAATCACTTGGAAAAATTTAAACAAATTAGAAAAATGTAAAAAGCAAACAAGACTTAAGGACAAAGGAAAGGGATCCCAATTGTAAATAACGTTTTAAATAATCCAATTTGACTAAAGATGGCCTTCAGCAAGTTCAATTGAATAATATTATGTTAACAACACTCTCTTATAAACTTTCTCTCACAATCCTAATATAACAGTTCGTAATTGATCAATTTATAACGGGTATCACATCAGTTCCACTAATTAATTGATCAGTTCATAATATGTCCCACATGGGTTTCGCTAATTAATTGATCAGTTTATAACGGATCCTACATGAGTTTCGCTAATTAATTGATCAGTTTATAATGAGTTCCATATGAGTTTCGTTAATTAATTAATCAGTTTATAATGGATCCTACATAAGTTCCGTTAATTAATTAATCAATTTATAACGGAGTTCATATGGGTTCCATTAATTAATTAGGAATGGACTAATAAGAAGTTGTCACTCATATTGTAACGTAATATCTATCACTCAATTCAATTTCATCCATTCCACCACTTGTCATATAATATGATAACCCAATTTGCTGTGAAGCTGAATTGGTCATGTACTGACAACTTGCAAGTTGCAACAACCAAATTACAGCTCGTTCACATCATTATGTTTGCATTCCGATCTAAAAAATATTCTCAATTTGGAATTCACCCATGTGTTAGCTAAAAGCCTGCTGGCTGCTGCTGTTCTTTCTTGAATTTGACTGCCCGTCGTTGTATCACTTTATCCACATGAGCGTTAGAATATAAACCATATTGAACTCATGCTGGAAACAATTCAAGCTTAAAAAAAGTAATTATCATTTTATTTTGAACTTCAAAGCTTAGAGAGATACAGAGACATGGCTATTGGGTTAATGGAGGTTCTGCTTGTTAATGCAAAAGGCCTTGCTGACACCGATTTCTTAGGTACTTTTTAATGGGTTCCTTTGATTTGTAATCTGTTTGTAGCTTCTTATCCATTTCATTTGATCAAATGGGGTGCTTTTCTTCTTCTGTTTCCGTATTATTATTTCTATTACTTCATATAGTTTGAAGATAGGAACTCTGGATTCCTTGTTATGTAATTTTATGTCAATAGTTTTAGTTTGTAAGCTATGCATGATGGATCATAAACACCCATTATTCATTCAAGATCAGAAATTCAAAGTTTGAAGAATTAAAATGATGATATTAAGTTGTGATTCTGGTGAATACTTATTCTTCATTATGTGGTGCTGTTCTATTGTAACATTCTAAGTCAACTCGTGGAAACAGAATATTGATGTTTTTGTTTTTGGTAGGTGATGTTGATCCTTATGTTGTGATGCAATACAAAGGCCAAGAGCGTAAAAGCAGCGTGGCCCAAGGTTAGTTCAATTCACACAAATACTCTTTAATTTTCTAGATGTATCTGATATAAAGAGGGTGTGTTTGAATGTGTTTGTGCGAAGTCAAAAGTGCTTCCAGATAGCCAGAAGTGCTTTTAAAAAAAAATATGTGGTACTGTTTAGCAGGAATAGAGAAAAGCATTTTTGGGTGGTCTGCGAGGCAATTGAAGTTCTTCTTTGCTAATTAGAATGACACCCAGTTGATGACCTACTAAAATCGATCTCTTTATTAGTGTTGTCCATTCAATATTTCTTAGTTTACCATAACGTTTTCTTTCGCCGTTAATTGTTCTGATGGTTGTACATAATTTCAGTGCATGCAGAATGTTAGTACAAACGAGAGTTCATAATTGAATTGCTAGCTAAGTTTGGCATGAAACTCATCAATGAAAGCATACTGTTATAATATGTGCAGGACAGGGCGGGAATCCTTCCTGGAATGAAAAATTTACCTTCAGGGTGGAGTATCCAGGATGTGGTGGCCAGTACAAGCTCGTTCTTAAAATCATGGACAAGGATACCTTCACTCATGATGACTTCCTTGGCGAAGCCACGTAAGACCATCTTATAGTAATTATTACCCTTTACATGAACATTCTTGACCAACAAATTCATAAATAACTTCTTGTCGTAACTTGCACACCATTTTCCATTTGAGATTAATATCATGGTAACATATCTGATTAACCTGTTTCTTTTTATGTCACAGTTAGAGGTAAACTTTTTATATTGAGATTGTTGGGTATGATGAATGAGTAAAGATGTAATTCATTAGCATCTGTTAATGTTTACTAAAGTTTTATGATCAGGATGACTTCTTAAATTCCTATATCTTAAGATTTCCAAAATTTACTCTCTGTATATTTACATGATTGTTTAGATAAGAGTTTGCATAATGTATATACTTTTTGAAAAGTCATTCTAATCTTTTCCTAAATACACTTGGCGAAAGTAAGTTTTTTGCCCAAAAAAATAAGAGATTTTCATCAGTCATCAGCATTGGTCCTTGTCAATTCATATGAATTGTCATTGAATTTGCTTGAAGCCACTGTAATAGAAGCTTAAATTTAAGGATACAATATTGAAACTAAGTAGAACGATTTAGAACCACTATGATAGACATCCTGACAGAAAAAGACTACTACCTCTAGACATGCCTGAGCAAAAGTCATATTTCTCTCTTTTGGTATACTCAATGGTGGTGTTGGATTGCTTTTCCACTTGCAGAATCTATGTGGAGGATTTTTTGTTACTAGGAATGGACAATGGAACTGCTGAATTACATCCTCGCAAATATAGTGTAACTCAAGCTGATGGAACTTATCGTGGAGAGATTCAAGTTGGTCTCACTTTGACCCGCAAGGTAGCTTTAAATTTTGCATGATCTTTCCCTCTCAATATATCAAGCGGTTGGTCTGGCATGCATGATGCATTCACATATACTAGCTCGAATTCTATAACTTAGTGTAGCCATAAAAAGATAGGATGCCTCTTTTTACACTTCAAATGGTTATTGGAGCCATAATACCTTGAGTTAGAAGTCACCCAAGTTCTCTTCTTTGTAACCAATGTTAATGGTGTTTCTAAATTAGACCGCGACAAAATCACCCGTGACATTTTTTATTAAGATGACTTGAAACTCGGAGTCATTCAGGTCTTGGGATTTTTCTTCGTTTCTGATAGATGCATCCGGAAATTGAAATAAACAATAACATTGTTTAGCTGTTAGGTTTTTTATTATTCCCCCATTTTTCTTTGGGTTGATATAGTTCTTGCTTATTGAACAGTTTGAGCAGACAACTGAAAGCAGCTATGGAGGCTGGAAGGAAAGTGATGTGTAGTAAGCTTGATTGCTCCAATGAATGAAATATTTGTAATGTGTAAAATTTGAAGAAGGATGTGCAACTCTTGCAAAGATTCCAGAATTAATCATTTGCTTATTATATGATGTGTTATGAAATTTCCTGAATTTCTTATTGGTGTTATTTCAGTAGCCAAATCTCATTAAAAAAAAAAAAAAAAAAAAATCAGTTAGGAAATAATAGGATTAATTAACTAAATAAATGATAAATTCACTTCGTTAAATAAATTATATAAAGTGAATATTAAACTTATTATCTCTTCTTATAATACAACTTTACAAAATTAAATATTGTATTCAATTAAATTCGCTAAATAAATTATATAACAAGCGTATTAGTTTTATTATCACTTTTTATAATCCAATAGATGGTACAAAGTTAAATTATTTTATTTAATAATTAGATTTCTTTGCATGGTTTAAACCCCCAGACTATTTTTAATTTTAAAGAGAACAGGATAGTGCAAATATTTTTAATTTTGAGAGAGTAAAACGAGTGACATTGTAGAAATATAAATATTTTTTGATTTAAAATGCAAAGTTAGTTTTCAATAAATAATGGTATATAAATAAAAAAACTAAGCTATTAAATCAACTGCCGTCTTAGCTCAGCGGTAGAGCGCGTGGCTTTTAACCACGTGGTCGTGGGTTCGATCCCCACAGACGGCGTTTTATTATTATTATCTAGGTTTTTTCCATTTTTTTATTCTTATAATATATTTTTAATTTATTGATATAATCTAATTTTTTTTATTTGATTATATTCTAATATTAATTTGTTGACATGATTAGGTTTTTTGGATAATTAAATTTCTTTGATGACATCGTTGTAAAAAAGACTTTTGACAAATCTTACAAGATTTTAGAGGAAAAAAAAAATTCCGTTAAAAAAATGTCAAACATTGCTGAAAATGACCAACAAAAATTCCTGAATTTCATAAAGCCTTGTTTGGCGTCTTGCAAAAAAGTGGGTAAGTTATCATACAACTGTTCATGGGCTTCACGTCCTCTCACCTCCTCACTCTTTCAAATAAATGTACCTCTCTTCCTCTTCAATTAACTTCATGTGATGGCCATGCACTAACTCTCATTTCCACCACCCACCTCCAACTCACACCTTCCAATTCTTCCACCGCTAAAAAAACCACTTTTTCTCATGCATTTTCTCAACTTCTGCTTTCCATTTTATTCAACTCTTCCTGTTTTAACTACCTTTAGTGGCACCCACGATACATCACATTAACATCTCCCACTTTACAATATCTTTTAGTTCAATATTTGTATCTTTGTCGTCCCTGTAGTTTTCATTGTCATGCTTAAAGGTCGTTGCTGTTGTCTTTTTTAGATTTTGTTTTTTTTTTAAATGACGAAATTTGAAGACTTCTTGATGCAGCAAAGTGATGAGAAGCAGAAAAGAAGTGAGCTTGAGGAGGAGGTTGAGAAATTGCAGGCAGAATTAGATGGAGAATTGACACTCAACAAAGTTTTGCAATGTGCACTTGGTGGCCCTGTTATTTCACATCCTCTTCTTTCCTCTTTTCTTCCACCTCAGGTAACTGAAAATTATGAGGTCTACTATGGTGATAATCATGCAAAGAATGAGTGAATTGACTATGCAAATTATGCAGGTTCATGTGCTTCTTTCAGAGCTGGCAATGGTGGAGGAAGAAATAGTGTGGCTTGAGAGGAAAGTTGAAGAGCTGAAAATGAGATTGTATCATGAAAAGAAACAGACCAAGGAATGGCAAATGCAGAAGTCACAGACAGAGAAGCAACAGAGGAGGCTGCGGCGGGCTAATCACTTGTTATGTGGACCTGAAAATCCATCGATGCTCAATAAGGATCTCCAAGTTCGAACCAGGTCTCAAAATTATGATGAATTCAGAAAAAGAAGAATGAGAAGTAGTAGAAGAGCTTCTGTGGGTTCTGAAATAGAGATCTTAAGCATGTCTTCTACAGGGTTCCCTGGTAAGTTTGATCTTCTGACTTGAAAGAATATCTAGTTTCTTAGAATAAGAATCAGAAAGAAAATTGATTATAATTTTGGTTATTTGCTTGTGGCTTTGGATGTGATGAATAGAAGAAATTTATGAGAAATCAAGGAGGCATACAAGTAGAATCCCAAAACATTCTTCTGCTGTTGATAAAGAAACTGCCTGTGAGAAACCAAATTTACTCTCAGAAGAACTCATCAAATGCCTAATAGGCATATTTCTAGACATGAACCAGTCGGCTCAAGATCGAGAAGGATCAGCCATTGTTCCGAAGCTTAGTCTCTCCTGCATGAATTCAAAAGGCTTCATATCAAAGAATGCATCAAGTCTTGATCCTTATGGCATATTGCCAGATTTAGATGGCAGCATCAGAGACATAGGTCCATACAAGAACCTCATCCACATCACAAGAAGCTTCTTAGACATCAATCGTTTCGCAGAATGTCTATCAGCAGTCAGAAAATTGAGGTTGCTTCCAGGTTCTCTGATGCAATATGATAATTTAAAACATCAATAGTTACATCGAGTTACCTTATGTTTCCTTCTGTTTGATCTCTTTCAGGGTTTTGATGCATAAACTATCCAATGTAGACTTGACATTCTTGACTTACAAGCAGAAGCTAGCATTTTGGATCAACATCTACAATGCCTGCATAATGCATGTACTGTAAGACATCTTAAGCCTCATTAAGTGAAACAACATAACTACTTCATCCAAAAACTTAAGCTCTTAATTTCTCCGATTCAGGCATTTCTAGAACATGGGTTGCCCTCTACACAGGAGAAATTACTCGCACTCATGAACAAGGTACATTTGCTGATTAATCAAACTTATGAATTTGCATCAATTATTGCCAAATCATTTGCTGATTAACATGACATTGTTTTGATCCAGGCTGCACTGAATGTGGGTGGTATAGTACTGAACTCGCTGGCAATTGAACACTTTATCCTTCGACATCCCTGTGAAGCAGCATCTGTAAGTAAAAAATTTAAATGTTAGCTACTTCTAATACATCATATTCAGAATTTTTAACCATGTAGTCTTCTTTGAAAAGCATCTGATAAAATTGGATTTGCATCTGATAAAATTGGATTTTATTCTTACTTTCAGGAACCCACATACCAGAAAGAAACGCTTCTAAGGCATGCATATGGTTTGGGGTATCCAGAGCCAAATGTGACATTTGCCCTTTGCAGAGGCAGTTGGTCCTCACCAGCAGTAAGCACTTCACACTCATATGTATTAATTTAACATTCAGAAGTGTTTTTTTGAAGAGACTATTTTTAATTTTAAAGAGAACAGGATAGTGCAAATATTTTTAATTTTGAGAGAGTAAAACGAGTGACATTGTAGAAATATAAATATTTTTTGATTTAAAATGCAAAGTCAGTTTTCAATAAATAATGGTATATAAATAAAAAAACAAAGCTAATAAATCAACAGCCGTCTTAGCTCAGCGGTAGAGCGCGTGGCTTTTAACCACGTGGTCGTGGGTTCGATCCCCACAGACGGCGTTTTATCATTATTATCTAGGTTTTTCCCTTTTTTTTATTCTTATAATATAATCTAATTTTTTTATTTGATTATATTCTAATATTAATTTGTTGACATGATTAGGTTTTTGGGATAATTAAATTTCTTTGATGACATCGTTGCAAAAAAGACTTTTGACAAATCTTACAAGATTTTAGAGGAAAAAAAAAATTCCGTTAAAAAAATGTCAAACATTGCTGAAAATGACCAACAAAAATTCCTGAATTTCATAAAGCCTTGTTTGGCGTCTTGCAAAAAAGTGGGTAAGTTATCGTACAACTGTTCATGGGCTTCACGTCCTCTCACCTCCTCACTCTTTCAAATAAATGTGCCTCTCTTCCTCTTCAATCAACTTCATGTGATGGCCATGCACTAACTCTCATTTCCACCACCCACCTCCAACTCACACCTTCCAATTCTTCCACCGCTAAAAAAACCACTTTTTCTCATGCATTTTCTCAACTTCTGCTTTCCATTTTATTCAACTCTTCCTGTTTTAACTACCTTTAGTGGCACCCACGATACATCACATTAACATCTCCCACTTTACAATATCTTTTAGTTCAATATTTGTATCTTTGTCGTCCCTGTAGTTTTCATTGTCATGCTTAAAGGTCGTTGCTGTTGTCTTTTTTAGATTTTGTTTTTTTTTTAAATGACGAAATTTGAAGACTTCTTGATGCAGCAAAGTGATGAGAAGCAGAAAAGAAGTGAGCTTGAGGAGGAGGTTGAGAAATTGCAGGCAGAATTAGATGGAGAATTGACACTCAACAAAGTTTTGCAATGTGCACTTGGTGGCCCTGTTATTTCACATCCTCTTCTTTCCTCTTTTCTTCCACCTCAGGTAACTGAAAATTATGAGGTCTACTATGGTGATAATCATGCAAAGAATGAGTGAATTGACTATGCAAATTATGCAGGTTCATGAGCTTCTTTCAGAGCTGGCAATGGTGGAGGAAGAAATAGTGTGGCTTGAGAGGAAAGTTGAAGAGCTGAAAATGAGATTGTATCATGAAAAGAAACAGACCAAGGAATGGCAAATGCAGAAGTCACAGACAGAGAAGCAACAGAGGAGGCTGCGGCGGGCTAATCACTTGTTATGTGGACCTGAAAATCCATCGATGCTCAATAAGGATCTCCAAGTTCGAACCAGGTCTCAAAATTATGATGAATTCAGAAAAAGAAGAATGAGAAGTAGTAGAAGAGCTTCTGTGGGTTCTGAAATAGAGATCTTAAGCATGTCTTCTACAGGGTTCCCTGGTAAGTTTGATCTTCTGACTTGAAAGAATATCTAGTTTCTTAGAATAAGAATCAGAAAGAAAATTGATTATAATTTTGGTTATTTGCTTGTGGCTTTGGATGTGATGAATAGAAGAAATTTATGAGAAATCAAGGAGGCATACAAGTAGAATCCCAAAACATTCTTCTGCTGTTGATAAAGAAACTGCCTGTGAGAAACCAAATTTACTCTCAGAAGAACTCATCAAATGCCTAATAGGCATATTTCTAGACATGAACCAGTCGGCTCAAGATCGAGAAGGATCAGCCATTGTTCCGAAGCTTAGCCTCTCCTGCATGAATTCAAAAGGCTTCATATCAAAGAATGCATCAAGTCTTGATCCTTATGGCATATTGCCAGATTTAGATGGCAGCATCAGAGACATAGGTCCATACAAGAACCTCATCCAAATCACCAGAAGCTCAGTAGACATCAATCGTCTCGCAGAATGTTTATCAGCAGTCAGAAAATTGAGGTTGCTTCCAGGTTCTCTGATGCAATATGATAATTTAAAACATCAATAGTTACATCGAGTTACCTTATGTTTCCTTCTGTTTGATCTCTTTCAGGGTTTTGATGCATAAACTATCCAATGTAGACTTGACATTCTTGACTTACAAGCAGAAGCTAGCATTTTGGATCAACATCTACAATGCCTGCATAATGCATGTACTGTAAGACATCTTAAGCCTCATTAAGTGAAACAACATAACTACTTCATCCAAAAACTTAAGCTCTTAATTTCTCCGATTCAGGCATTTCTAGAACATGGGTTGCCCTCTACACAGGAGAAATTACTCGCACTCATGAACAAGGTACATTTGCTGATTAATCAAACTTATGAATTTGCATCAATTATTGCCAAATCATTTGCTGATTAACATGACATTGTTTTGATCCAGGCTGCACTGAATGTGGGTGGTATAGTACTGAACTCGCTGGCAATTGAACACTTTATCCTTCGACATCCCTGTGAAGCAGCATCTGTAAGTAAAAAATTTAAATGTTAGCTACTTCTAATACATCATATTCAGAATTTTTAACCATGTAGTCTTCTTTGAAAAGCATCTGATAAAATTGGATTTGCATCTGATAAAATTGGATTTTATTCTTACTTTCAGGAACCCACATACCAGAAAGAAACGCTTCTAAGGCATGCATATGGTTTGGGGTATCCAGAGCCAAATGTGACATTTGCCCTTTGCAGAGGCAGTTGGTCCTCACCAGCAGTAAGCACTTCACACTCATATGTATTAATTTAACATTCAGAAGTGTTTTTTGAAGAAGTTTCTATTAAGTGCTTTTCTAGCAATACAGTCAAAAAACTCCCAAAAAACGAGAAAAATGGAAAACTTGATCCAATAACTCCTATGTATTTGTAATTTGGTATGCAGTTGAGAGTGTATACTCCAGACGAAGTAGTGAATGAATTGGAAACGGCAAAAGTGGAGTATCTGGAAGCTTCAGTGGGAGTTACAAACAAGAGAAAGATTGTGGTTCCAAAGCTTCTGCAGTGGCACATGAAAGACTTTGCGGACGACATGGACTCACTACTGGAATGGATTTACAGTCAATTGCCACGTTCTGGGTCACTGAAAAGATTGATGATGGAATGCCTAAATGGAGAAGTTAAAAATCCTTCAACAAAAATGGTGGAAACTCAACCTTATGAATTCGAGTTCCGTTACCTACTGCCCCTGTAAATGAGATGAAAAACAACCCAAAAAATGGCATAATCATGATACTGCAAATGAAGTGTAGCTTTACCTTGATCATTATCCATTACCTTTGTTCGTCGCCAGGCAATTGCCGACTTTATCAAGACAATTTACTACTTCGATAAAATTTTTAGTAAGTTCCACAAGTTGGTATTTTGTATATGTTTTGATTTAAATGAAATTATTTGATTGATACACAAATCCCTTGTATAAAGAAAAGTAGCTCGTTCACATCAATGGCTACCCTGCATTTTAGGCACAGAAAAATAAAAAATGACACCAAGATATTAAACAAAGAAGAAGAGTCGACAAGAATTGGAAAACACTTACACCACCGAAAAACAACGATGCTTTGAGAAATTCCGAATAACATTACAATTACAGTGCTGCTAAGATCATGTGCGTTAAACACATTAAAAACATCTGGAATGGTCAGAACAGCTGCCACAAATTAACAGACGCAATCGAGCTTTTAAAATCATGACACCAATAATACATTCAAGTTTTGATTTGTTTGCTTTCAATCAGGATGATTGATAATCCCCCAGTGCTCACACTTATTGCCAGTTACAAATGATTTGAAGAGGGCTCAGCTAAGAAATTCACAATTCTGTTCAAGAGATTTAAGCCAAATACGGTTTCTTCACAGTTGACTTTAACAGATACATTCAGTGGTTCAGAACATTTTCCTTCAACAGTAATGGTAATTAAGCAAGTAATTGAAGTGCTCAAGATCTCACTGCTAAACCGCAAGCGCAAACCTGATGCATCGTCCAGGTCGGCAGCAACTGGCATATCGACAGATACAAGAACAACATTTGCATTGCTGAGCATCTTTAATGCGAGGCTCTCACATATTACAAGAAATTTATCTTTCACTAATAAACTCTCACTCTTGTCCTTGCTCAGCTCTCCGATGTGGTCAGTGAAGGTGCAGCTGTTGTACAAATACAAGAAATGCAATTTAGTTAGCCAAAAAAAAAAAAAAAACTAAAATAAGAAAACACAATTTAAAAGCCTATATATGACAGGAACAACTAAAAGGTTGTTTCCTTCGCAAAACAAAGAGTTATTTTCATTAATCTTATAGCACATTTCATAGCAGAGATCAACCATGAGGACCTATACTGAGGATAACATTGCCCAACATATCACCTTTCTAGTAATGTGACCAATAAAACTTTTGATTTACCAAATCAACATCTAGCAATTAGGTACCACCATAAAGATGCTATCCAAACAAAATCTAACAGATTAGATGGCTTATATCAAGCAAAATATTACAAATTAACCGGTTAGATGGCTTATATCAAGTAAAATATTACAACTTAACGTAAATTTCATCAACTACTTATCAATTGCCCATAAATGAAAAGTAAAACCATGACTAAATAACACAAGTGACAACCGGATTCAAGGAGAAGTAATATCAAGTTTGCAAAATAATTCCCATAGAAAGATCCATAGAAAAGGAAAACAACAATTGTTTTTCTGGAACAATTTCCTCTTTAGATATTTTTTAAGAAGAACAACGACAACATCTTGGTAACAAGAGTGACTAACCTCCTAGTGTACTCAAACATCCCTGGGAGACGAGATTCCTTGTCTATGGAGGTTTCCATATCCATTGGTAGGGGTTTTATGAAATATCCGATGTCAGGCCACAACTTAACAGGAAGCTTCTTGCCATTACAACTTAATGTCAGCTTCAGAGGCAATAGATGATGATGGAAGCGAACCTGGAGAATCCTGTTTCTTATCTGACCAGGTTCCAGAGAGGTAATCTTCTCCATAGGAACTAACGTTGGCACATCACTGTGAGATGTAAAGGAGCACAATACAAGAAACTAGTTAAGATCATAGAAGCACCATAAACTCAGTACATTCAAGAGAAGTATAGAGAATTAAGAATTTAAAATCGGTTCTAAGTAGGCAAGATATAAAAGTAAACTTGTTACTGAACTTGAATGCATCACTTAAATTCAGTCAAATAGACCCCCCCACTTTGAAGATATATATTAGAAGAGCTCAAAAATATATCTAACCTCAGACTTTAACAAATGCATCCAAAATAATTTGATTCACTCACTACTGTCATCAAAATGTAAACCACAAATAAAGGCATGATGTTGCTTCACTTTTCTTGAACTACTAATATGCTTTACATTTAGAAGACTGTACTCAGACTTTCCTGATCTCCACATGTTTTTGGGCATAGGCTGCAAAATCCCACCCAAAAGAAGAAAAATGCTCATCACTAATGCTAAATGAATATCATAGATAACGTGAAAAATATCTATGGGACCTGCGTATAGACAGCTTCTTTAACAACAAAGTTGGACCAAGAACACACAGATGAGTAAAAGACAACTTTCATAGGTAAGCATAGATTTAAATCACCTTTCAGCCATAGCCAATGCTTGGTCAGCAGAATCAAAGGCTTTGTTAGATTCGTCGCCCACTAACGTTATGTCCAACATGGACTCAGAAGAACAATTCTGGAAGAAAACTTCTAGACATACAAGTAAAGGGGATATGGTTGAAATTTCAGATGAAAATGAATAATCCACCTTCAAGCCATTTCCATTTGCTGGGTCTAAGAGAGTATGGCTTTTAGCTTTAACTTGACGCCCAATATTTCCAATAGAGATTCTTGCAGATGATCTGCGAACTTGACTTTGTACAGATGTGCTTGGATTTGATGAACCAGGTTGCTCATCCAACCATGATTCCAGAACTCTCTTCGACATCAAGTCTCCCAAGTCAGTAGAGTCAGACTGAGAAGCTCCATTCTGATTATTACTAGCATTCCCTACATCTGAAATCTGAATTAACGGATCAATGTTGAAATTGCCTTCACTAGCAGAATCATCATTGCCACCACTATCACTTGAGCCAGTAACAGATTGCTGAGAATCATAATTTGAAGCACTTTCCTCATCCAAAGATCCAGATGTGTCAGGATCATCAGTCCCACTGGAGTTGCTGTAAGTGAGTTCCTCCCCTAATGCAGTTGTCCCCTTATTTGAGTTTGAGAAGTGAATGAGCTCATCACCGGGCAAACTACAGGGTTTTGGAAGAGGTTCATACCCTGGAGCTGCATGAAGAACTATTTGGGAAAGAGATCCAGGGAGATAAAATCGGTCATTAATTGGTTCAGATGCTGCTGCTTTTGTTTGTTTCCTAAAAAAGCATTCAGCGAGTACATGTGAAAGGTCTTTCATTTGGGGAAGAGAATTTGTTTCCTCCTCCAGCCCTTGAGAGCCAAAATTGTGTGAAAAAATTTTCTTAAAGAAACGAGCTCGGTCACGAACATCATAGTTCAGGTCACACTCAGCCAATTCAATCAGATAGCTGGAAAGTCTTTTAAATGTCCACAAATCTTCACCTTTAGCACATGATAGGACCTGTTAAAATAGAAAAAGCTGATTGAAGACATGATTTCTCTCCAGAACTAAGAGGAAGTAGTAAAAGAATTTATTCACGTGCAATAAAGCTGATGAGACTATTGATGGTTATATGAATATATCTTGTAACCATAATTTCAATCCCACATCCTTAATTAAACATAAATTTGTCATCATATATTCTGCTGTTTGGAGAAGGATGGTTTTTTTTCATGTAAATACTCCATTATATGAATGCAACTTCAGAACTGATCAAGAAAATAATTTCTAGCTGCAGGAAGAGTCTGCCCTGAACCAGAAGCCACCGATGCTATTTTACTTTCTTAGCAGAACCATAGAGGTCAAATCATGAAGTCCACAGCTGTCCTCACAGAATAAATCAATTTTTCTGCTTTGCACTTCTAACTGACTTTTAAAGGTACAAACTGTAACCAAATAATCAAAACTCTCTAGTATTTCAACCAAAATTTTTAAGTAAAACTTCTCTGATTAATCAGATTCCTGGGTTGCTAGAGTACCTTAATAGAAGTATTGAGAATCTGAAGCTTTGTTTCCAGTGCCTCTCTTGTAAAGCACCAAGCAAGATACTTAAAGACTGTGGCTACCATCTTTGGAATTATCTCCCCTAGAGAACTGTACTCTCCCACCATCCAAATAACCATAGCACGTGCTGCAGGAACCTTGATTGAATCCAATCTATGGACCAACTGAATAATAACCTATAAAAATAGAAAGAATCATTTATATAATGCATTAAAAAAACATTAAAATATCACAAAGAAGACTGATATTATCACACTTATATTTAACTTAAATATCCAACGTAAAGACCAAACCAATCTCACTGTACAAAACTTTCTCTTATCACGGCTTCTAAAGGATCTAATGAAGTATATGATTTTTGAATGGACATCAATACCCCCAGAGGTACATATATAGTATTCATTCAGATGAATTGGAACAATTAAATAGTAATTTTAAATTTCAGACACAGGCACAAAATTAACAAAAGTAGAAGAAGGCACATTTCACTATTTCAGTAAATACTTAATTTCAAGAAAATTTACATCCATGGAGCAAATATTTTCCCCAAAAGTGAAACCAGTACATGTTATGTATTTTCAACACTTTGGAGTATTTAAGGAATCAAATACAATAAGAGGGAAGAGGAATCTGAAAATGCATACAACAGCTTCAGAGGTGTAGAAAAAATGAGAATACCGTCTCATGAGAGGCTGGATCTTGCTTTATGATTGATTTAATGGACATGATTGCTTGAATTAAAACACTTGCGTCTTCATTTGCAGACCCACCATCACTAGACAAAAATTCTGCAAAGTTCACTGCTGCTTTAGGAAAACAAGGAAAGCAGATCTAGTAGAAGAGCAAAATGAGAAGAAGGGGCTGATGACAGACCCTTTCTAGTTAGAGCTAAAAGCCTTTCCCCACATGTGTTTGCCATTTTTGGAAGTCGTCGTGCACATAAGCCTATAGCTGCAACAGTATCAGCAGCAAATCTTCTGTCTGGATCTCTAATATAATCCTAGCAACAACTAAAAGATAAGCATCAATCCATGCATTTGAAATATTTGATAGCATTTATGTGTTTATGTGCATGTCATTTGTGAGGATGTGTCTGCAAGTAAACATACATGCACAGGCAAAAGTTGTGTGTGCATAAACACAATTCTAGGAGTCGTTCAACCAACTTTGCCTTCAGTCCTAACCAATTTCAAATGGATAATTATTCCCTACACATACGCCTTGCCCACCCCTCCACTCCTATCCCATTATTCAACCTATTTTTAACTTTGCCCCTACTTAAATTGAAGGATGCTTCTACTAGTCTTTGAATTTTTAGGAAACTTTACAAAGAAATTCTAAACAGAATACAAATATTTATTACTTGTAATGTGAAAAAACAACCATGAAAAAGGAAAATAGTACCTGAAACTCTTTAAAAATGGATGTAATGGATGACTCTGTAACAATAGAAGACAGAATCTCAAGTTTCAACGCCTTAACTTGATATGAATCAGAAGAACATACGAAGAAGTCTTCATAGTGTGGCACAAAGAGGTTAGGCATTGCTTTAGAAAACACTTGAATATTACAGAGGACCTGCAAAGATGAATTGGCATAACCATCCTTAATAGTAACCAACCATGAAGTGAGAATACAATAACCAAGTAGATTGACTAAAATTCCCATTTGATTTGGATAATGCAAGAAAGTGTGCAACAATCATCTGAAATTTGACATGGTTGCACAAAAGACAAAGCCATTTCAAAACACTATCAGCTGATAGAGACATTAAAGCTAAGAGCTAACTTCAATGAGCAAGAATTTCACATTCTTAAACTATTTTACTATCATACTCAAAGCAAAGCAATATCTCAACCATTTCTGGTGCTTCATCGTTACAATCTCAAAAACTGATATGTCAGAAAGAATCATTTCCTTTTTCAGAAATTTCTCATCACTTTGTTTCAAAGGGAATGGTATCTTATTGCTTCTCAAAATGATAACCAAGCAAAACTAATCATGCAAAGAACAGGAGAATTTTTTTTTGGTTATAAACAGGAAATAGATTTATTAACAACATAGAAGATATTACAAATCAGAATCAGAAAATCTCATCACCAGGTATATGCACATACCAGCACAAAAAGTAGAAAATAAGCTACATAAGTTATATATTCATCAAATAAATAAGGCAATACCACATATTTCGAGGCATTAGATGATCTCAGAACAAACAAGAGTGGCTTAACAATTCTTTTGACATCCTCCCTTGGAGCCATAATCCAGTGTATGCCAGCTGCTGCGAGCACCACAGCACTATTGTGACTCCATAGCAATGGTGATGTGCACTGGAGTAGAATCTTCACATCATCATTACTCTTGCCAGATGTAAATTGTGTACCATTCACATCGGAGGAAACCCTGTTGCTGTAACTTGACCTTGTTATGTATTCATCCAGTCCTTCAATATATGACCTTGAGACCACATTTGCTAATTCAGAGACATTTACCATACTTATGTCACCACTATCGTCTAATGCAAAGTTTCCATCTGAATCATCCTTTTCAGAGTGAGATTTCTCCTTACCATGCAAAGAAAACATAATTGATTCTTTTACAAGCCCATGCCTTGCTATTACATAATGGAGAAGGATCCCAATCAAGATTATTTGACCCCACTCTTCCACATCAGGAAGTATATGACATAATTTTCTATAATTTCTGCCAATCAAAGAAAAATTGTCGGGACAAACAGAAGCAAAGGCAGAGGCAGCAGCTCCAACCACTCCAGGGGAATGATCATTTAATAAAATTCCAATAATCTGCACAGGCCAAAGATTTTAATTGAGGGGACTCTAATAAATCTATGTAAAAGCATCGCGAATTCTCAATGCCAAAATTAAATTTCAGTATGCAGAAATGAAACATATTTAGGAGATGATAAAAAAAAAAAATAATAATAATAAAAAAAAAAATGACTCATTTGGACTGAGTTTCTATAAATTCTCACAATCTGTACTTGTGCTTATGAGATAACTACTACATCTTTTTTTTAAACAAGTAAATTCATTAGCGGGGTAAGGCTTGATGCATGCTCGAGACTTGTCTATGAGCTTCCATGGCAACTTCCTAATACTTCACAAAATGAGATATAACAGCATTAACATCTGAAAAGTACGTGCAGGTTAGCTTGAAAAATTCAAGAAGAATGAATAGTATATTTCATGAAAAATAAACAAAAACTTCCCAATCTATTTCACAGGGGAAAATTGTAAAGAGATTTACTTTTCAAAGAATTATTGAAATAGACAACCATGACGTCATTTAAATTATAGAAAAAAGTTGGCAATAAAAAATAAGTCATCAACTAGTAATTACAGAACATCACAGACAACAAAATCTAAGTTAATTAATACCTCTTCAATTGCAGAAGTATGTTCCTCAAGGTGCAAATCATGCAATTTGGGAAGAGCATTGGCAGCACATTTTCTGACATAAACAGATGGATCTCTAGCACACTTGCCCACAGCCACCAGAACAAGAGATGCAATTACATGTAAACGGATTCCAGCCATGGTACGAAGAGCCCATGCCCTTACTAATGGATTCGGATCCCCCAAATCCTTTTGGAAACAATTGATAGATAACAATGCTTCATTTGGACGCCTAGATAATCAATGACAGGAGACGAAATTGATTCATATACACATTACACCATTTACATGGGAAAAAAACAAATATGGAATCAATTCACCATTTATCCTCAAACACAATGGAAAGGCAAAATCCTCGGATTTAATCTTCAGGAGCCAAATCCAAATGTCTCATCCTATCAAATGCTTGAGTTTCTGATTGCTTATACAGTATTATTTGACTAACTTCTAAAAAAACATATGTAAAAGATATAACAATTAGAGTCAATTGGCAAGAAGCTGCACTAGATTGATCACCTACTTGCCACTCTATGATTCAAGCTTGAATTTATAATTGAAAAATCCTGAGTTACAAGAACTCCAAAAACAGTGTCAGATATGACATGACCTCCAACATGGCAAATCCTTGAAAAAGCAAACATTCAGTTTGGTACTAGACATATTACTCCGAAGGAACCATCCAGGCATAAAGTATGTCTGTATGTATAATGTTGGGATATTACAACTAGAAATTTTAACTCACAACTGTTTGTACATCACAATCCATGGTTCAAAAGTGGAGATAAAAAGTAAAAAACTAGCATTTTAAATTGCAAAATCAACAACGCTGTTAAGCACTCATATATATGCACACATATGTGCGTGCGAGCAATTGCTTGTGAAAGAGTATAGAGTTCTAACATGGTGCAATCATGCAAGGAAGGAAAAAAAAAAAAAAAGAACTGTTGCAATATTAAGAAATAAGTTTTGTGGCATACTTTTCAGCATAATGCAAGAGGTACAAGTAAACCAGCTTCTTTACTTCTAATGACTGAGACGCCACATTTTTAACAACCTGTAATGCCGTTGACCAAAAGTTAGATAAAACGGTACCAAACATATATTATAAATTAAATTTCGATCATACTGAATTAACTATCATTCAATTTTGAAGACAATAGCAATCAACTAATTAATCCAGATACAAACTCAAATTGGTTGCAAGTAACATTTTGTATCGTTTTAAATCTAGGAATTGACATAAACCACAATTCAAACTCAAACTTATTGAAAATCTAAATAAACAAAACGAGTCTACATGAAACTACTTGAAATCGTTTGTATTTAACTCCAGCAGCTCCGATACAATTACGAATTCAAATTCTTAGTATCTTTGTTTATGTATTATTCTTTAAACGTCATCAGTAACGGAAATCAAACGAAATTAAAAGTGATAGTAAAAATAGGAACCTGAGGGAAGAAGTTGGAGACATCGAAGCCCTGAGCAATGAGCGCGAGAAGTCGCTTAAGAGCCTCGCACTTCTCTGAATCAAATCTGCTGTCAAGTAGAGGCGCGATGTTAACGTCTTCCGGATCGTCGTACAAGTGAGCGTCCGTACCGATCCGGAACACCATTGTCGATGCCTTACTTAACGTGTCTGATGTGGCGCCAAAATGAGGAAACATTGTTTAATAATTTACTTCTATCTTACAATTCTGATCGGCTGATAGAAGTCTGCTGGTTTCTCTTGAAGATGGACTGAATTGTGAACTGTGAAAAGTTTGCACCAGAAGCTGGAGATGAGAAGTGTTTGGTAGGCTTGAAAGCCGGGCTTTGGTTAGGGAAAGAATTGAACCTTTGCACGGGTTTGAAAAAATCTCATTCCAGATTAGTTTTAACATATTCATTTAACTAAAACGTATGTATTTTAAAACTCATAAAAGTCGTCATTTTTATTTTTCATGAATAAATGCCATTAGGTACTTATCCATAATTAATGTGGTCATTTTTCATTTAATATGTAGTTCATTATCAATTTATCATTTTGAAAAATAATATCTACAGTCCTCTTTGGATTTTACAATAACTGTCTAAATTCATCAACTTTCTCACTCTTTCATTAATAGGTGAGAATCTTGATTTCAACAACAGTATATATAATTTAATTTAAACATCTCATTCCTCTGTTAGACTGTTACTTCAATTTCACAGTTGAAAGTTGAAACAATGTCTTTTCGAGGTCTTTCTCTTTCTCATCATCCAAGAAAATTTGTCACTGTCCCTTAAAAAGCTTCACATTTACTCCAACGAGGCAATTGTCTTTGGTTCTGAATTGCGATTGACCAGTCTATCTCAGTTTAACCACTGCAATTTCAATGGTCACTACATCTTAATAATATCATTTAACAAGATTCATTATATTTTGAGCGTTTAGATGATATAATATTTTATTATAAAGAATGTTATATTAACAGAAAAAATAGATTTAAAGATTATTAAAAATATTAAGAAAATATATTTGATTGGATCGAAAAAATTAGTAAATAATATGTTTAGTTGAGAGGATAAATAGATGGATATATTATATAGATTATTAAATTTTTTTTTTTTTAAATATTAATATAATATTTTTTTAACCTTCTACATTTAAAATTTTGCTAAAACATCCTAGTTATATAAAACTTTAATTTGTAACAAAATCACCCCCACCCACCCCAAGCCACTGCCGATAGTTAGCTACCACTGTCGACCGTCGCTAGCAACCAACGGAATGACGTATGACTGGCCGTATATGGCCGACCGTGCGTCGACAAAGCCATTTCTAGCCATGGATTACAAATCCATGGCCATATCTATGGTTATTTCACGGCTAAAGTCTTTAGCTGTGAAACGGCCATAGAAACACCAAGTTTGGCCGTTTTCGGTCACGATCGGTCAGATCTCGTCAGTTGTGCACCATTATAGCGACTGATGTCGACGGCTGGTGGTGGTCTTGGGTGGCTGGGAGTATTTTGTTAACATCTAAACTTTTTTTGTGGTTAACGTGTTTTAACTAATTTCTCAAATAAAGAGGGGCTAGGCTAATTATTATTTAGTTGACATTTGAGGGCAATTGTGTCCGAAATGGTATTTAATTAAGGGAAAAATAGGTATAAAAATAAGATTACCCGTTAATGTTTTAATCTGGGGGAGAGGATATCGGATTATCCTTAACATTACCAACCATAAATACTATTTGCAATAAAAGATTATGGCCAGATCTTGCCGATCATGCACCATTATGGTGATTGACACCAACGACCGGCGATGGTGAGTAACGGCCGACGACCGGCAGTGGTGAGTGGTCTTGGATGGCTGAGGATATTTTGTTAACATTTAAAGTTTTTTGTGGTGGGGGTGTTTTAGCTAATTTCTTAAATGTAGGGAGGCTGGGTAATTGTTATTTGATAGATATTTGGGATAATTGTGTCTGAAATAGTATTTAATTAAGGGCAAAATATGTATAAATCTTTAATCTGAGGGAGAGGGTGTCGAATTACCCCCAATATTACCAATAATAAATACTATTTGCAATAACAGATTCTCGTAATATTTTATTATTTACAAACCAAACACCAAAATCTTATAAAATAAACTAAGATTATCCCGGTTATGTTATATGCTCCGATCCAAACACACCCTTCGAAGCATTTATAATCGCCGGAAAATCACACACTGCAAAACTTGGTTATTTTTCATACCTTAGAAGATTGATTATTTTTAGTAATGTTGGGCATTTGAAAATTTTGGGTCAATTTTCTTGATTTTGGTTAGGACGAAATACATGTTCCCACCCTAGCCCCTAGGTATGGTGAGTCCACTTTAGGTACCTGTGGTTTAGAAAACTATAAACACCTTCCCATTTTTCAAATTCTACTGTTAAACTTAACGGTAGATAGGTGCTTTTGTCTTTCTCGGCATATAACCCTAAAATAAATCTAAAATATGTAACATTAAAAATATAATAATAATAATGCCATTATCAAATCACACCAACTTCAAAACTATAAAATTAAAAAAATAAATAATTAACTCTACTATGGGGTATGATCACGACTTTAACCCCATAGGCCATATGCTTAGGCTAAATTGGTGGAAATAGTCTAGCGAAGTCAGTCAGGTTGTGATTGGTCGAACTGCAACCCAACTGACACACAACCAATCGCGGCTCAAACGACAAAGGTGATAGTGGTTGAGATGAAAATAGAGGTGATGGTGGTGGATAATTTGTAGATTAATTATTTTATTCACCAATGAGCGCGAGAAGTCGCTTAAGAGCCTCGCACTTCTCTGAATCAAATCTGCTGTCAAGTAGAGGCGCGATGTTAACGTCTTCCGGATCGTCGTACAAGTGAGCGTCCGTACCGATCCGGAACACCATTGTCGATGCCTTACTTAACGTGTCTGATGTGGCGCCAAAATGAGGAAACATTGTTTAATAATTTACTTCTATCTTACAATTCTGATCGGCTGATAGAAGTCTGCTGGTTTCTCTTGAAGATGGACTGAATTGTGAACTGTGAAAAGTTTGCACCAGAAGCTGGAGATGAGAAGTGTTTGGTAGGCTTGAAAGCCGGGCTTTGGTTAGGGAAAGAATTGAACCTTTGCACGGGTTTGAAAAAATCTCATTCCAGATTAGTTTTAACATATTCATTTAACTAAAACGTATGTATTTTAAAACTCAAAAAAGTCGTCATTTTTATTTTTCATGAATAAATGTCATTAGGTACTTATCCATAATTAATGTGGACATTTTTCATTTAATATGTAGTGGTCATATTTTCATTATCAATTTATCGTTTTGAAAAATAATATCTACAGTCCTCTTTGGATTTTACCCTAACTGTCTAAATTCATCAACTTTCTCACTGTTTCATTAATAGGTGAGAATCTTGATTTCAAGAACAGTATATATAATTTAATTTAAACATCTCTTTCCTCTGTTAGACTGTTACTTCAATTTCACAGTTGAAAGTTGAATGAAACAAAGTCTTTTCGAGGTCTTTCTCTTTCTCATCATCCAAGAAAATTTTTCACTGCCCCTTACAAAGCTTCACATTTACTCCAACGAAGCAACTGTCTTTGGTTCTGAATTGCGAGTGACCAGTCTATCTCAGTTTAACCACTGCAATTTCAATGGTCACTACATCTTAATAATATCGTGTAACAAGATTCGTTATATATTTGGAGCGTTTAGACGATATAATATTTATAAAATATTATATTAATAGAAAAATAGATAATTTAGAGATTATTTGAAATGTTTATAAAATATGTTTGATTGGTTGGAATAAATTAGTAAATACTGTAATATATTTAGTTGGAAGGATAAATGAATGGGAATGTTTTATAGATTATTAAATTATCTTTTTTTTTTTAATATTAATATAATATTCTTTTTTAACCCTCTATATTTAAAATTTTACTAAAACACCCCAACTATATAAAACTTTAATTTGTAATAAAATCACCCCCACCCACCCCAAGCCATTGCCGATAGCTAGCCACCACCACTGACCGCCGCTAGTAGCCAACGGAATGGCTCATGACTAGCCATATATGGTCAGTCGTACACCGGCAAAGCCATTTTCAACCATGGATCACAAATTCATGGATGATTCATGGCCATATATATGATCATTTCATTGCTAAAGATGTAGTCATGAAAATGATAGATCTTTAGCCGTGAAACAGCCATAGAAACACCAAGTCTAGTCGTTTTCGGTCACGACCGGCCAGATCCCATCTATCGTGCACCATTATGGCGACTGATGCTGACGGTTGCTGGTGGTCCTGGGTGGCTAAGACTATTTTATTAACATCTAAACTTTTTTTGTGGTTAGAGTGTTTTAGCTAATTTCTCAAATATAGAGAGGCTGAGCTAATTGTTATTTAGTTGACATTTGAAGGCAATTGTGTCTGAAATGGTATTTAATTAAGGGCAAAATAAGTATAAAAATAAGATTACCCGTTAATGTTTTAATCTACGAGAGAGGATATCAGATTACCCCCAACACTATCAACAATAAACACTATTTCCAATAAAAGATTATGGCCATATCCTGCCGATCGTGCACCATTATGGTGATTGACACTGATGATCGGCGGTGGTGAGTGGTATTTAATTAAGGGCAAAATAGGTATAAAAATAAGATTACTCGTTAATGTTTTAATCTAGGGGAGAGGATATAAGATTACCCCCTACATTACCAACAATAAACACTATTTCTAAATAAAAGATTATGGCCATATCCCATCGATCGTGCACTATTACGGTGATTGACACCGACGACCGACGGTGGTGAGTAGTCTTGGGTGAGTAGGGATATTTTGTTAACATTTAAAGTTTTTTGTGGCTGAGGTGTTTTAGCTAATTTCTCAAATGTTGGGAGGCTGTATAATTGTTATTTGATAGACATTTGAGAGCAATTGTGTCAAAATAGTATTTAATTAAGGGTAAAATAGGTATAAAAATAAGATTACCCGGTAATGCTTTAATCTGAGCGAGAGGATATCGAATTACCCAAACATAACCAATAATAAATACTATAATAAAAGATTCTCATAATATTTTATTATTTGTAAATTAAACACCGAAATCTTATAAAATAAACAAAGATTATCCCGTTATGTTATATGCCCCTATCCAAACATACCCTCCGAAGCATTTATAATCGCCGGAAAATCACACACTTCAAAACTTGGTTATTCTTCATACCTTAGAAGATTGATTATTTTTAGTAATGTTGGGCATTTTAAAAATTTGGGTCAATTTTCTTGATTTTGGTTAGGCCGAAATACATGTTCCCACCCTAGCCCCTAGGTATGGTGAGACCAATTTAGGTACCTGTGGTTTAGAAAACTATAAACACCTTCCCATTTTTCAAATTCTACTGTTAAACTTAACGGTAAATAGGTGCTTTTGTCTTTCTCGGCATATAACCCTAAAATAAATCTAAAATATATAACGTTAAAAATATAATAATAATAATGCCATTATCAAATCACACCAACTTCAAAACTATAAAATTAAAAAAATAAATAAGTAACTCTACTATGGGGTAAGATCACGACTTGAACCCCATAGGCCATATGCTTAGGCAAAATAGGTGGAAATAGTCTAGCGAAGTCAGTCAGGTTGTGATTGGTCGAACTGCAACCCAACTGACACACAACCAATCGCGGCTCAAACGACAAAGGTGATAGTGGTTGAGATGAAAATAGAGGTGATGATGGTGGATAATTTGTAGATTAATTATTTTNTCTACTATGGGGTAAGATCACGACTTGAACCCCATAGGCCATAAGCCTAGGCGAAATTGGTGGAAATAGTCTAGCGAAGTCAGCTAGGCTGCGATTGGCCGAACCGCAACCCAACTGACACAACCAATTGCGGCTCAAATGACGAAGGTGATAGTGGTTGAGATGAAAATAGAGGTGATGATGGTGGATAATTTAGCATATTAATTATTTTATTAATTAATATTTTTATATAAAATTTATATTTTAATAATGTTTGTATTGTTTCAAGATTGAAATACATGTTGGTAGGTATTAAGTAATTGTAAAATTTATATTATATTTTTTCAAGGGTAAAATTGGTATTTCGGATGGTCAAAGTTGGTCTACTTTCAAATTGGCTTAACGGAGACTAACTTTGGGCGGCACGGCGATAGTTTCCGAAACCAAGGGTACCCATGTTTGTTCACCATATTTAGGGTGGAAAAATGTATTTCGGCCTTTCAGTTATTTTTATTCTTTAGTAACATGATCTTTTCTAGATTGGGTAAATTCAGTAATTTTATTATATTATGTAATTTTTCAGTTAGATCACTTTTTCAGGTCAGGAAGGAGGAGGGTCTAACTATACGCGCAGTACTCGCGTGGACAACCATAGCTATCACAGTTTCAACACGACTCAACGCACTCAAATCCAAACACAGTTCATTGACCCCTTACTGCTCCCCTGATTTCACATACTTCACAGTATCAAACCCTAACTCATCAGCCATCTCCACCATTTATCCTCACTATCACCATACCTAACATTTCTCTCAAATCAGAGCTCACTGCTTCACAATCACACTCTCAATTCAGAGCCGGAGACTTTATAGCATTTCTGGTAATTTGAGTTTTCTTTTCTATATTTTCTCCTAAATAAATTATGCATGTTTATGATTAATCATGTGGAATGCACTCTCATTTTGTTAGTGTTTGGCTTGATATACTGGAAGCTTTGTTGGTCGTTGTTTTCGCTAGTTTTTATTATTTTACTCTCGCTTCTAATTTAGCTCATAACTGGCTAATAGGATGAAGTTTCGGTCAATGCATGTATGTTTGCATGTTGATTTCTTTATTTAATTTAGATTTGTGTCATGGTTTCTTTAAATGATATACAAAATTATTTGATTCATATGGCACAGTTCATGATGCAGAATACTATGGCACGGTAATTTCGACAGCATGATTGTTATTGTCAGCCAATCATTCATTACTTGTTACTTACAACTCTTATTTCTTATAAATCTAAATTTACTTGTTACAGTGCTTGATGACACTTGATTTGTTTTACGAGATTGGCATACTGTGAACTTATCATTTTCATTCCTTCGCATAACATAAGCAGTAATGTTTTGTTTTTGCTTATTTCTTGTGGGGGTTGCATAACATAAGAAATGAGATGGTAACCCCTAGAAATCCCTTCCATGTTAAATTTTCATGTTGTAATTCTCTCCCATGAATGAATGACTTCTTTTTCCTTTTTTTTTTCAGTGCAATTTTTCCCTTTTCAGTTTTTATGAGTGCATGTGTGTTGGTGGGCAATGATATATTTAGATTTTAATGAACGAAGTGTCTAGAAAATTTGTTTTTGTTTAGCATCTAAAGCTGAAATCTACTGTGTTCCTTCAAGCTCTGCTTGCTTAGAACACACTTTTTGAAGTGTTTAATTAAATAAAACTATACTTAATGATTGATTGTATTTTCAGGTACTATTTGAGAAATTTATAATGGGAAGTTCGATGGATCACAGCTCAGAAGAGGATTCAGATATAAGTGAATCCGAAATGGTTGAGTACAAAGATAAATCTTATGAAAAACTGAAGAGTGGAAATTGCAATGTGAAAATCTCAGAGGAAAATTTTATTTGCCCTTACTGCCCCAAGAAAAGAAAGAGAGATTTCCTTTATAAGGATCTTCTACAACATGCTTCTGGGGTGGGCAAAAGTACTTCAGACAAAAGAAGTGTAAAAGAAAGGGCAAACCACCTAGCTTTGGCAAAATACTTAGAGAAAGATCTAGAGAATGAAGGAAGTTCATCAAAACGTGCGAAGGAAGATGACCCTCCGATTAGTTGTAATCATGATGAAAAGTTTGTCTGGCCTTGGGTAGGCGTCGTGGTTAATATTCCGACTAGAAGGGTAGATAATGGGCGGTTTGTCGGAGCAAGTGGATCCAAGTATAGAGATGAGCTGATAAAGAGAGGGTTTAACCCTACAAGAGTCCATCCTCTGTGGAATTACCGAGGTCATTCAGGAACTGCTATTGTGGAATTTAAAAAAGATTGGCCTGGTCTACATAATGCTATGTCGTTCGAGATAGCTTATGAGGCAGATCATCATGGGAAAAAGGATTGGTATGCTAGTAATCAGGAAAAATCTGGCATTTATGCTTGGGTTGCCCGTTCTGATGACTACAATTTAAACAATATTGTTGGGGAGCACCTGCGCAAAGTTGGAGACCTTAAAACCATTTCTGAAATGATGGAGGAAGAAGCTCGAAAGCAGGATCAACTCGTATCTAATCTTACAAACATGATTGAGGAAAAAAACAAGCACTTGCAAGAGATGGAGCAAAGATGCACTGAGACTTCAAACTCTGTTGAGAAGTTAATGGTGGAGAAAGATAAGCTTCTTCAAGCATATAATGAAGGTGTGTCTCTTCATAGAGTTTTAGTTATTCTTAGCAGAACTGGACTGTGAAAATCCTGTAACGTTGAGTAAATGATGTTTTCTGCTGTTTTTATTTTAATGATGTATATTCTCTAATCTATAGGGAAGAATATCCTAGATTTCCTTATTTCGAGTTTGTTACATTTCACTGTCTTCTCTTACATGTCGCAATCTTGGTATCATTTACTTATGCCATGTCTGTTTGCATCAAAGAGATAAAGAAAATACAACTGAGTGCACGAGATCACTTTCAGAGGATTTTTAGTGACCATGAAAAACTGAAGTTGCAAGTAGAGTCTCATAAAAAAGAGCTCGAGTTGCGTGGGGTAGAATTGGAAAAGCGTGAGGCACAAAATGAAAGTGATACAAAAGCTCTTGCTGAAGAGATTGCAAAGGTAATTGTATGCAGTACTCAATTTTTTTGTATTTCTCTTGCTTTTGACACTACTTTTATGGTTGCAACAAAATTTATTGTTCAATCAGAATGCCATGAGAAATAGTTCGCTTCAATTGGCCGCATTGGAGCAACAGAAAGCTGATGAAAAAGTTATGAAGCTGGCCGAAGATCAGAAGGTATTATTTCCTTATATTCTCTGATTAAAACCAGAATGCTTCCACATTGAATTTTTTGAAAGTTGAAAATTGATGAAAATGGTTGTGGTTATTAATTTGTTGCAGAGGCAGAAGGAGGAACTTCATAATAGGATAATTCAATTGGAGAAACAACTGGATGCTAAACAAGCACTAGAATTGGAAATTGAACGAATGAGAGGAACGTTAAATGTGATGAAGCACATGGAAGGTGATGAAGATTGTGAAGTTCTACAAAATATGGACACATTGATTAAAGATATGAGGGAAAAGGAAGGGGAACTTGAAGATTTAGAAGCATTGAACCAAACACTAATCATTCGAGAGCGTAAAAGCAATGATGAGCTGCAGGATGCTCGTAAGGAATTAATTAGTGTGAGTAATTTTGTTTCTATTGCTTGAGATGCCTAGTTCAACTGTTAACTTTGTATTGAACTGACAAGATAATTTCCATTTGACGGTGTTACAGCATCTTGAACATGTGAATTTCAAGAATTCATGAATTTAGGTTTTTAGCCTGTATTTAACACTTCTGGTTTTATATTACCTAAAACAATTGTTCTGAAGTATTGGAGATGACATATATATACTGAAGAAATAATATCTATTACTTACACTACATCCCATTTCAACCAATTTCATTTCTTCAGTGGACCATTGTTAAGGCTTATGTAATACTTCCTTTTGTTCTGCTTTAAGCTTTCTTACCCTCACTACATATTTTTAGAGACTGGGATAAAGTACTGATTTTTACTCACTTTATAGTTCTTGAAAGAGATACCAGCCCGTGCTGATATTGGTGTTAAAAGAATGGGAGAACTTGACAATAGACCATTTCTTGAAGCTATGAAGAGAAAGTATAATGATGAAGAAGCAGAGGACAGAGCTTCGGAACTTTGTTCACTATGGGAGGAATTTCTTAAGGATCCGGACTGGCATCCTTTCAGGGTTGTTACAGTTGGAGAGAAACATCAGGTATGCCTTCCATTAATTTCATAGATTTAGCTCTGTTAACTGTTTATCTAAATCCTGATTATGATATATCTCCTCTTTTGAAGTAAATTTTTATTCATTTATTTGCTTAGGTATCGTACACATTATAGCTCTGAAATCCTGGAATGGAACTTTATAACATATTAGGAAAGTTCTGTTATTAATGTGCCACTGGCCCCTGCGTTCTTTTGCATGATTGTGACACAAAATGTGAGTTGTAGAGTACTTTCATCATATCTCTTTGCTCCATGTTATTTCGAACAAAATTGCACAAAATTATGTGTACTGTTCTATTCTCTATGTATTGTACACAATGAAGATTATTAAAAGATATGGTTTATTTCAAAAAATTGAGCAGTTCGACATTTTTACAACTAACATAATCCTGTAACACTAATGATTCTTATTTATAACCAGCAAATAATAAATCCTAAATCTGGGTGGCAGAACCCCTTTAGCCTTCTCAGTTGTACTTCTCTGCTTCTGGCTGTCAATCATCCAGTCTCTTATTCAAATTTGAAAAGGTTTATTTTTAGTATGTTTAGTCTGATTATGCCTACTATAATGCCAAGTTTCGGTCAATGCATGTATGTTTGCATGTTGATTTCTTTATTTAATTTAGATTTGTGTCATGGTTTCTTTAAATGATATACAAAATTATTTGATTCATATGGCACAGTTCATGATGCAGAATACTATGGCACGGTAATTTCGACAGCATGATTGTTATTGTCAGCCAATCATCCATTACTTGTTACTTACAACTCTTATTTCTTATAAATCTAAATTTACTTGTTACAGTGCTTGATGACACTTGATTTGTTTTACGAGATTGGCATACTGTGAACTTATCATTTTCATTCCTTCGCATAACATAAGCAGTAATGTTTTGTTTTTGCTTATTTCTTGTGGGGGTTGCATAACATAAGAAATGAGATGGTAACCCCTAGAAATCCCTTCCATGTTAAATTTTCATGTTGTAATTCTCTCCCATGAATGAATGACTTCTTTTTCCTTTTTTTTTTCAGTGCAATTTTTCCCTTTTCAGTTTTTATGAGTGCATGTGTGTTGGTGGGCAATGATATATTTAGATTTTAATGAACGAAGTGTCTAGAAAATTTGTTTTTGTTTAGCATCTAAAGCTGAAATCTACTGTGTTCCTTCAAGCTCTGCTTGCTTAGAACACACTTTTTGAAGTGTTTAATTAAATAAAACTATACTTAATGATTGATTGTATTTTCAGGTACTATTTGAGAAATTTATAATGGGAAGTTCGATGGATCACAGCTCAGAAGAGGATTCAGATATAAGTGAATCCGAAATGGTTGAGTACAAAGATAAATCTTATGAAAAACTGAAGAGTGGAAATTGCAATGTGAAAATCTCAGAGGAAAATTTTATTTGCCCTTACTGCCCCAAGAAAAGAAAGAGAGATTTCCTTTATAAGGATCTTCTACAACATGCTTCTGGGGTGGGCAAAAGTACTTCAGACAAAAGAAGTGTAAAAGAAAGGGCAAACCACCTAGCTTTGGCAAAATACTTAGAGAAAGATCTAGAGAATGAAGGAAGTTCATCAAAACGTGCGAAGGAAGATGACCCTCCGATTAGTTGTAATCATGATGAAAAGTTTGTCTGGCCTTGGGTAGGCGTCGTGGTTAATATTCCGACTAGAAGGGTAGATAATGGGCGGTTTGTCGGAGCAAGTGGATCCAAGTATAGAGATGAGCTGATAAAGAGAGGGTTTAACCCTACAAGAGTCCATCCTCTGTGGAATTACCGAGGTCATTCAGGAACTGCTATTGTGGAATTTAAAAAAGATTGGCCTGGTCTACATAATGCTATGTCGTTCGAGATAGCTTATGAGGCAGATCATCATGGGAAAAAGGATTGGTATGCTAGTAATCAGGAAAAATCTGGCATTTATGCTTGGGTTGCCCGTTCTGATGACTACAATTTAAACAATATTGTTGGGGAGCACCTACGCAAAGTTGGAGACCTTAAAACCATTTCTGAAATGATGGAGGAAGAAGCTCGAAAGCAGGATCATCTCGTATCTAATCTTACAAACATGATTGAGGAAAAAAACAAGCACTTGCAAGAGATGGAGCAAAGATGCACTGAGACTTCAAACTCTGTTGAGAAGTTAATGGTGGAGAAAGATAAGCTTCTTCAAGCATATAATGAAGGTGTGTCTCTTCATAGAGTTTTAGTTATTCTTAGCAGAACTGGACTGTGAAAATCCTGTAACGTTGAGTAAATGATGTTTTCTGCTGTTTTTATTTTAATGATGTATATTCTCTAATCTATAGGGAAGAATATCCTAGATTTCCTTATTTCGAGTTTGTTACATTTCACTGTCTTCTCTTACATGTCGCAATCTTGGTATCATTTACTTATGCCATGTCTGTTTGCATCAAAGAGATAAAGAAAATACAACTGAGTGCACGAGATCACTTTCAGAGGATTTTTAGTGACCATGAAAAACTGAAGTTGCAAGTAGAGTCTCATAAAAAAGAGCTCGAGTTGCGTGGGGTAGAATTGGAAAAGCGTGAGGCACAAAATGAAAGTGATACAAAAGCTCTTGCTGAAGAGATTGCAAAGGTAATTGTATGCAGTACTCAATTTTTTTGTATTTCTCTTGCTTTTGACACTACTTTTATGGTTGCAACAAAATTTATTGTTCAATCAGAATGCCATGAGAAATAGTTCGCTTCAATTGGCCGCATTGGAGCAACAGAAAGCTGATGAAAAAGTTATGAAGCTGGCCGAAGATCAGAAGGTATTATTTCCTTATATTCTCTGATTAAAACCAGAATGCTTCCACATTGAATTTTTTGAAAGTTGAAAATTGATGAAAATGGTTGTGGTTATTAATTTGTTGCAGAGGCAGAAGGAGGAACTTCATAATAGGATAATTCAATTGGAGAAACAACTGGATGCTAAACAAGCACTAGAATTGGAAATTGAACGAATGAGAGGAACGTTAAATGTGATGAAGCACATGGAAGGTGATGAAGATTGTGAAGTTCTACAAAATATGGACACATTGATTAAAGATATGAGGGAAAAGGAAGGGGAACTTGAAGATTTAGAAGCATTGAACCAAACACTAATCATTCGAGAGCGTAAAAGCAATGATGAGCTGCAGGATGCTCGTAAGGAATTAATTAGTGTGAGTAATTTTGTTTCTATTGCTTGAGATGCCTAGTTCAACTGTTAACTTTGTATTGAACTGACAAGATAATTTCCATTTGACGGTGTTACAGCATCTTGAACATGTGAATTTCAAGAATTCATGAATTTAGGTTTTTAGCCTGTATTTAACACTTCTGGTTTTATATTACCTAAAACAATTGTTCTGAAGTATTGGAGATGACATATATATACTGAAGAAATAATATCTATTACTTACACTACATCCCATTTCAACCAATTTCATTTCTTCAGTGGACCATTGTTAAGGCTTATGTAATACTTCCTTTTGTTCTGCTTTAAGCTTTCTTACCCTCACTACATATTTTTAGAGACTGGGATAAAGTACTGATTTTTACTCACTTTATAGTTCTTGAAAGAGATACCAGCCCGTGCTGATATTGGTGTTAAAAGAATGGGAGAACTTGACAATAGACCATTTCTTGAAGCTATGAAGAGAAAGTATAATGATGAAGAAGCAGAGGACAGAGCTTCGGAACTTTGTTCACTATGGGAGGAATTTCTTAAGGATCCGGACTGGCATCCTTTCAGGGTTGTTACAGTTGGAGAGAAACATCAGGTATGCCTTCCATTAATTTCATAGATTTAGCTCTGTTAACTGTTTATCTAAATCCTGATTATGATATATCTCCTCTTTTGAAGTAAATTTTTATTCATTTATTTGCTTAGGTATCGTACACATTATAGCTCTGAAATCCTGGAATGTAACTTTATAGCATATTAGGAAAGTTCTCTTATTAATGTGCCACTGGCACCTGCGTTCTTTTGCATGATTATGACACAAAATGTGAGTTGTAGAGTACATTCATCATATCTCTTTGCTTCATGTTATTTCGAACAAAATTGCACAAAATTATGTGCACTGTTCTATTCTCTATGTATTGTACACAATGAAGATTATTAAAAGATATGGTTTATTTCAAAAAATTGAGCAGTTCGACATTTTTACAACTAACATAATCCTGTAACACTAATGATTCTTATTTATCACCAGCAAATAATAAATCCTAAATCTGGGTGGCAGAACCCCTTTAGCCTTCTCAGTTGTACTTCTCTGCTTCTGGCTGTCAATCATCCAGTCTCTTATTCAAATTTGAAAAGGTTTATTTTTAGTATGTTTAGTCTGATTATGCCTACTATAATGCATTACTGACTTCTATGATTGCAAAAGTCATTTGTCGAATGACATTCCCAAACTCATTATGTATGACCCTAATTTGCTTGCTTGGATGGCTGACCGTGCAATCTATGTTGGTTGATACACATTTTTTTTTTCTTAATTGTAGTAATGTATTCATGTGCATCTGTTAGTTAGGAATACATGTACTTTGAAGATATCTCAGCCTGAAATCTTACTGGTGAAGTACTTAATTGCTCCAAAGTTCGAGATATATTATAGTTTCTCACTTAGCTTTTCTAGATTACAAACTTGCAGGCTCCTTGTTTACCTTGCTTCCCTTCTAACGTGAAATAATTTATGTGATTTATGCTATGAGTTCAGGAAGTAATAAATGAGGAAGACGAAAAATTGGAAGGTCTGCAGAAAGAATTGGGTGATGATGTGTACAAGGCAGTGACATCAGCGTTAGTGGAGATAAATGAATACAATCCAAGTGGGAGGTATATCACCTCAGAGTTATGGAATTATAAGGAAAGAAGGAAGGCACCACTGAAAGAAGGAGTGACATTGTTACTAAAATACTTTAAAGCGGCAGTGAAACGCTCGGGAGGAACAGTTTGAAGGTTAGCATATCACAACTTAAGTTGTTTTCTTAAAATTCTCTATCTGCAAAAGTAGGTAATGAACATTGTGAGCTCATAGATAAAATGCCGATAAGGAAATTCACACACACACACACACACACACACACACACACACACATATATAGACTGAATATGTGCTTATTTCTTTATTTTAGTATGAGCTCATACCAACTAATTTCTGATTTCATTTTTCTAAACCACTGTTTCATAAGAACTCCATAACCACGTATATGTAAATGTGCAATGTAATTAGCATTTATTAGATTTGAACTAAATATTTGCCATCTCACTTGAAAAAACAGTATTTTCCTTTTTTTCAAAAGCTTTAGCATGAAGGTTTGAATAGTTTTCAGGAGAATAATGTTCTTGTTTCTTAAAATTATCAAATTTCATAAGATACCTATGTTGAAATCATGTCGGTTTTTTTTTTTCTATCTTTTTTTTAAATGCAAACACTGGTTCGTTTTTATTACAGGAAGTGACGATCTATTGCCAAGAACCCAATTTGGAGTTATTTAACGCAAAAGCGGGAGACACATGGCACGTTAGCTGCCGGGTGATCTCACGAGAATCAAGCCTTGATTCACTGTTGTACACTATTGAATTCCTTGTTTGAATTTATGGAATGAACTGTGTCTATGCCATTCTGCAGCCTGAAGCTGTTGAGGGATAGCATGAAGTTTGTTAAATAAGAGACCAATTTGGTCTTGTTTTAAAGCATTCTGGATTGGTATGCCATTAAGCATTGGTAAATCTAATATATTAAGCATGTATTCGTGCTAGGTAAGAAATGAGCAAAATCTAACAATGATAAGTTGTTTAAAAAAAAAAAAGAAATGAAAAAAAATTAAAGATTAAAATTGAAAAGTACTAAGCTCAAGACACGCGAATATGGAGTTTACTTAGTAGAGGTACGAACGATTTTGTTTTCCTTAATGATCGGGGTGTCTGTAACCTTAGAACTATTTACTAGATAAAATTTCAATGGTTATCCATGTTAATAATAGAAGAAGAATTTAACTCAAGATCTTTTGAGTAATACACTCAAGAATTTATATTGAATTATTTGACCATTCAAAGATAGGTAAAAACGATTCTTTCTTTAGTTGCATGTTTTTGTGATGAGTTTGGAATGACATATTTTTCAATCTTAACCTACTTTTTACCTATCACAAAAATAGTAAAAATTTTAAAACGCGTTAATTAATAAAAAATAAGTCTTGAAATTTGTTCTTAGTGAACATGATTATGCTACTAATTGCCTTTTTAACTCCCAACATTTTATTAATGATTTTGATTTTATAACAATGGATATAGCATCCTTGTCTTTTGTTAAATTGGACGAGGTGGATGGCATCCACGTGGCAACTACTTACTCTTGTAGTTTTCTTCGTAAAAGAGATCAACATACATGAGTGAGTGAGGACTGAGGAGTCCAAAGAGAGGAAATTCAAAAGACCATCGACTATGAGGTTGGTGGCATTAACAATAGAGAAATAGGTAAATGTTATATCTATAATCTCTACTTATAACTTGAATATAATGTAATTAATTAGTTTATAATATATTTTAAGCCTGTTTGATTGAGTTTATAAAAATTGACTTATAAACAATTAATACTTAGCTTATAAACATTTAAAATCTAAATAGTTATGTGCTTGGTTAAAATACATATAAGTAATTGATGAATTTGATAAAATATAGTTTATAAGTATATTTTATTATTAAAATAACTAAAAATGATACTATATTATTAAAAATAAGAATATAAGATAAAATTTTAAAATAAAAAATAAATAACTTACTAATATATTTAGTCAAAAATAACTTCTAAACAAAGTGTTTATAAGGCAAAAACAAAATATCTTCTCCTAACTTATTTCTTTTAGCTTATAAGCCCCGTCCGTTTATAAACCCATCAAGAATTATAAACAAACAAACAAACTTATAATTTAGTTTCACTCATTTGATAAATTATGACTGACGAGCCCAAGTACTTTTTACTTTTCAGACGCCTCTATAAATGCACTTGCAATGAGAAGCGTCCACGTGTATATGCTGCCACTTGGCAGTTGGCTTTTTCAGTCACACTGAAGGCGTTTTCCGGTCTTCTGCAACCACGCTTCTTACTTCTTGTGTGTTTGTGTTCTTCAGCATTTCGGCTGTTCAAGGTTCAAGGTTCAACCATTCAATCTGTACAACCGCGAAGCTCGCCTTTGAAGTAAATTCGTTTCCTATTCTTATATTTGTAATGCTATTACATTTTGTGTTTTATTGGGCTTTTTTTATTATTATTGGCCTTCTGATTGTTTGATTTTTTTTTTTTTTTTTTTTTTTTTTCTAGGTTTTCATGTTTCCAAATGCTTAATTTGTATGTTTTAATAGATCAAAATTTAAAAAATTAAAAGGGGTACTTGAAATTTGATCATCGAAAGATGATATTTTGATTACACAGAGACAATCTATAAAGGTTCGATACAAATTAAGAGATACGAAGTTGTGTATTTTGTTTGTAAAATGCAAGCTTACACATATTTCCTCTTCTTCTAACATAGGAACTCCATTTTGCACTTTTTTTTTCTTTTTTCACCCATTCTTCCTCTTCTTCTACTGCTCCTCTTTTCCTTCTCTCTTCCAGATTCTTCCTCTTTTCCTTCTCTCTTCCAGATTCTTCCTCTTTTTCTTCTTTTCTTTTCCTTCTCTCTTTCTTCCTTTCTTCTCTCCGCCAGATTCTTCCTCGTCTTCTTCTTCTCCTCTTCTTCTCCTCTGTTTCTTCTTCTCTTCTCTCCACCAGGTGCTTCCCCTTGCCATCCCCACCAAAATTGGAACGTGCATATTTAGTTTCTGAGTTTGGTCACATATTTATTTGATCCTCATATTTTGCTTGCTTTTGTCTCAAGACTAAAAATGGAGGGATGTAGTTATTAAGAGAAGAAGAAAGCATGTGATGTTAAAAGCCTTGAACAAGAGACGGCTTACAAAAACCGGCGGCTGGATGAAGTGGAATATAGGTATGAACAAATGCATGCAAATTTTCGCAAAGTTACCATTGGGCTTACATCTAAGCTTATTACAAGCGACACAAGCCTCAAGGAGAAGGAGCTGATGTACCAAATAGAGATTTCGTCAAGGGACATACGATTGCTTGAGATGGAGCGGAAGTACAAGGAGACCTGCCAAGGTATGAGTATTTTTTATGAATGATGAACGAAGGATTTGATTTTTATTATTAAAGCTAAAGTTGTCATCTGTTTTGTAAAATTGAAGTTTTCATAGTTCACTCAAAATGTTCTTTTTTTTTTTTTCTTTCCTTTTTTTGACAATTTGATATACCAAAGGATTCGAACAATTGCTGGCCCAGAAAGATTCAGAGAAAAGAAGCTTAATGGATCAAATTGAAGAGGTTGTATCCATTTTTATATTTTACCATGAACATCGTTGTAATAGTTTTGCACATGTTACTTAATTAAACCACCATTGAAAGATCCTCTGGCTGGATCTGAACTGTCCGCATTCTGGAATTGATGTAAATGCTAGGCTACTTAATAGTTTTAACATGCAATGTCAAATTATAAGCCTCTTCAAATTTTAATTTTGTTGGGTATGTGCCTTGAATCATGTTTGTACGTAACTTATGAATTTACAGGATGTTGATTTTCTGCTGATTAGTTATAGTATATTTAACCAAATTCTTTTCTTTATGTTAATTCCTATATTGTTTCAATTTGACTTTGGAAACAAGCTGTCGCTTGAAATTTTGTTTACAAGTTTTTGTTAAGCTAACTTCATTTTTTGGGTCATTATTGATGCAGCTTAAAGTGAAGTTGCAAAGTCAAAATCCTTCAGAAGGAGATAGTGATTTAACTGCTGAGATCACTGAACTAAAGAACCAGTTAGAGGAAAACAAAGAAGCACTGCAACATTCGGAAAGCCTGAATCAAACACTGATGCTTAAAGAGTCCATCAGTAACCAAGAGCTGCAAGATGCTCGCAAAGAATCGATCAGTGTATTTTACTAACTTATATTTTGCGTATAGTATAAAATTGAAATTAAATTATCATTCACCTTTTGCATTACTGAAGTCCATCTTCTAATTATGCAAGTAAATACAAAGGCGTCAGAGAGAATGTTTTCCTGATTTTGGCAATGCAGGTTTTGCAAGATATGTTGGATGGCCGAACAGCACTTGCTATTAAAAGAATGGGTGAAATTGATATAAAAGCTTTTCAACATGCATGCTCACTGAAGTTCACTGATGGAGACTGGCAGGCAAAATCTGCTCAATTATGTTCATCATGGGAAGAACATCTGAGGGATCCTCACTGGTCTCCTTTCAAGAGAGTCAGCATCCGAGGCAACCTGCAGGTATGTGTATAAACCTATCCATCCATACCCTTCTGAAACTTCAGTTTTGTTTGAAAATATCAACAAGTAGATGATCACTGGCTGTTTTATATGGTAGACATGTGGATGAATCTTTTTTGTTGAACCCACTCTTATATTCACCTATGCACCATTCATGTCTCTTTAAACTTCATTTTGTGCCCCCGAGCAACAAATATAACTTCACCTTCGGTATTTTGAATATTACATAACTTCTACTATGATCCAGAAATCGGTTGCCTTAATTGAGTCAAATGATTATTACTATTATAATATTTATTAGAAAACTGACTCCCAGAATGGTTCATCTTCAAACTGTGATTTTGTTTAGAAACATAAGAGTAAACAACATATCCCCACCCGAGGTTCAGCGAAATCCCAAGTTGATACCCTTGGTGTCATTTATTCTAAATTCTCACCCTTAAACTAACTCCGTTCCCTTTATTTTAACAGCATAAGCGTAAAACTGACATTTTCTCTTCTCTTCCCATTTCTTCCTCATCTCCACCTCCTCCTCCCATCTTTTTTTTTTCTATCCTCCACATCTCAAAACCCCACCTCAAATAACCCCCCTTGCGACTGCCGTTTCAAGCCCCTTGCGACTGTTGTTTTAGGCCCCTTGTCACCACCATCTAATCCCTCAAACCCACCACACCAAAGCCGTCTATCCCCCACCCCAAAGAATCCCACAAATCGCCGGCCACCTGCAACTTTTTGCTTCGCGCAATCACAGTTGTGGTGGCGACTTTGTCGCACTTTCTTCTTTTTTTTCCGGCCGGCCCACTCACCAGAAACGCCTCCAACCATTGCCATTCGAATAAGCTGATATTCCACTTCAAAACCCCTCTCGAACTCATCCTCCATCTACCGTCGATTTGCCACCGCCTCCTCTCAAAGGTAAATCCTTCAAAGCCTCCAACCACTGCCATTCGAACCAGCGTCAATGAGCGACTTTGAAATGGGTTTTTTTTGTTGTTTTGTTTGTGAAATCTATGTAGTTGTGTTTTTGTTTAATTGAGTTTTGAAAGAATTTACCTCTTTGAAATTGAGAGACGGTGTTGCGAGGATTGTGTTGGGGAGGAGTTGAAGGATTTTGGGTTGCATTGGGGAGGAGTTGAATGACATTTGTTGTTTGGTTTGGTGGAGTGGATTTGTTTGTTTGGGATTTTTGGAGTTGACTGGTTGGTTTTCAGAGTGTTGGATTTGTCGTTCGACGATGGTGGCTAGGTGGTGGTAATTTGGGGAAGAGTTCCTACCGTGATTGGTTAAGAAAATCAGTCGAGAGGCAGCCAAAAGGCCGATGACGGTGAAGAAGAGGAGTAGTCCAAGGGCAATTTGGTAAAAGAATATGCTGCCCTTGTGTCAGAAGACTCAAAACCCATCTGTCACTAACAATGTCCGTTTAAGGGTGGGAATCTGAAATTTATGAAATTAGGGGTACCAACTTGGGATTTCACTGAACCTTGGGTGGGAATATGTCGTTTACTCGAAACATAATAATAGTTTTATTTGCCCTGCTCTGATTGAGTTCTTGACTAATGTAGGAAGTAATAGACGATGACGATGAAAAATTGAAAACATTAAGAAATGAATATGGGGAAGTTGCATATGAGGCTGTGACCAATGCATTGTTGGAGCTGAACGACTACAATCCGAGCGGGAGATTTCCTGTGGCCGAGATTTGGAACTCAAAGGAAAGAAAGAGAGCCACCTTGAAAGAAATAATTGGATACCTAAACAAACAATTGAATAAGCGTAAAAGAAAGATAGTCTAATATTTGAATTAGATATTTGCATTACGAGTATGTTTACAATCTGTCTAATTTTCTAGGCTGTTCGGATTTGCTTTTCAAACATTAAAAAATTATGGATTGTCATCATTTTGTCATAGATTAACTAAGCCAATACTTATTTCAACCCATTTCCATCTTTTCAATTTTCAATAAGAAATTTTCGGAAAATCTCTTGCTAAACAATACAGAAGATTGGTTAACCTTATATGAACAATTGTTGTAATGTTAACGGCTTATAATTATCGTTAGATTAAGCTCTTAAGAGGTGCATTATTTTAAATTGGACGAGGTGGATGGCATCCACGTGGCAACTTCTTACTATTCGTAAAAGAAATCAACATAGAGGAGTGAGGAGCCAGAAGAGAAATTCATGGACTTTTCAGACGCCTTTATCAATGTACTTGCAATGAGAAGCGTCCACGTGTATGTTTACTGTTGTACATCATTGATTTCTCAATAATGGTATCGACTTTTTTACACCGAAATCTTGTACCGGCCTACGTGTTCTGTGATTCAGACCAACAAATCAGACATGTTTCATGTTATTATTTTTTTTTTCTAGTGAACGGCCGTTCATCAACTATGGACGGTCGTTCACTTACTATAAACTCCCGTCCATATTATATAGACGGGTCTATTTACTACGGACGGATGTCCATCAGTAAAATAAAATAAATTTTTTTTATAAAAATTAGGGACGACGTTCATCAGTTATGGACGGTTGTCCCTTAATTATGGATGCCCGTCCATTTGGATTGGACGCCCGTCCTATCTTCCAAATATCTTCAATCAGTTTAGCACATTCTCTCATCTCACTCTTACTCATGGCTAGTATATGATAGACTCCAAAATTCTTCTCCTGCGTGGGTCAATATGAGTGAGACACAGGCTACTAGGTATGATGGATGGACTGATGCAGAACACCTTTGGTGAGAACGGGGTCAAGGGAATCAGGAAGAGGGACTTCTACTTCTATGAATGCAGTTAGGGAATTCTTTCTTAGCCATCATGTCTTCCCTTCTTTATTTTTATTTGCTTATACCTGAGCTAGATGCCTTTTTTTACTACTTACAAGGGGTGCAAGATGAAAGAAAGAAGCAATCAAGATATCAGATGGGTCTTTTCCATCTTCCTCTTCATTTTGATTTTCTCTTATGACCCACAAGAATGGGTGGGCACTACTGAGCAACCCACGTGCAATCTCCTCCATCTGTTGCTTTTCCAACACGATCAGACTTCCAAACGACACATAAACTACTGATGACTTGGGCTTTGAGTTTAGCCATTCAATATAATCATTTGAACCACGGAATAGATCCACTCCAAATGAAGTATCGGATGGGTCTTTTCCACCCAAAAATACATATGGAATCAAAGGTCCGACTGTTATCATATTGAATTTATCAATAGCTATTAACGCCTCAGATTCTAATGCATCGAATGTGTTAACGAGTATTTTCGGGTTGCTTTCTTCGTGAAGAGCCTCCATTTGCTCCTGAAATGACTCTAATGCATGAGGGTACTTATCTGAAGGGAGTAAAAAAGAAGGAATATCACAGCTATTGAGTGATGGTAGACAAGGAACTGCTTTCTGCATCCTTATTGATTTGAGTTGAGTCACAGAGCTCTATATATTTCATAGGTAGCCCACTGAATCTTGTTAGTTATTATGGAGAGCTTTCATTCATTCATATTAAGGAGCAGCCCCTATAAGGATGAAAGGTCTCCCTGTTCTCTCTTTCTATTCTTCAACTTAAGGGCCATCGAATTTCTGGAAAAGAAGAATGAATCTGATTTCCATAGCGGACCTAAGTGAGTCAAGATTGTATTGCGTTCTGTTTAAACCACAATAATGGACGGGCGTTCATTCCTTATGGACGCCTGTTCAAACTTAAGAGACGCCCGTCCATAATTTATGGATGGGCGTCCAAAACTAAGGGATGGCCGTCCATAACTGATGAATGGCCGTCCCTAAATGTTTTTTTAATTTTTTAAAAAGAATTGTTAATAGACGGACGTCCATTAAAATATGAACGCTCGTCCAATATTTAAGGATAACCTTCCATAAATTGTGGACGGCTGTCCCTAATTTTTATAAAAAAAAAATTATTCCATTTTACTAATGGACGGACGTCCTTTAAATGGGGACGCTCGTCCGTAGTAAATAGATCCCCGTCCATATAATATGGATGAGAGTCCATAGTAAGTGAACGACCGTCTATAGTTGATGAACGGCCTTTCACTAGAAAAAAAGTTAATAACGTGAAATGTGTCTGGTTTGTTGGTGTGAATCACGGAACACGTAAGTCGGTCCAAGATTTCGGTGTAAAAAAGTCGGTGTCTGTAGCATTATTGTTGATTTCTTGTTATAATTTCTGGGAATAAACTGTGTTCATGCTAAGTTGCTAACACGCAACTTGAAGCTGTTTAGTGTTGAGGGATAGCATGTAGTGTGTTAAATAAAAGACCTGTTTGGTTGTCTGTTTTAAAGCATTCTTGATTGGTATGCCATTAAGCATTGGTAAATCTAATATATTAAGCATGTATTCGTGCTAGGTAAGAAATTAGCAAAATCTAACAATGATAAGATTAAGTTGTTTAAAAAAAAAAAAAAAAATTGAAAAAAATTAAAGATTAAAATTGAAAAGTACTAAGCTCAAGACACGTGAATATATAGTTTACTTAGTAGAGGTATGAATGATTTTTTTTTTTTTAATGATCGAGGTGTTTGTAACCTTAAAACTATAGACCGAATAAGAGCTCTGGTGGTTAATCCTATTAGCAATTGAAGAGGGATTCAAATTTAGGACCTTTTAAATAATACATCTAAAAGTTATTATCGAACTATTCAACCATCTATAGATAATTAAGTAAGAGCGATTCCTTCTTTAATTGCATGTTTTTGTGATGAGTTTGGAGTGGCCTGCCATTGGTGTTTATAAAGCAAACCTACTTTTACCTATCACAAAAATAGTAAAATTTTTGAAACGTGTTAATTAATTTTTCATTAATTAATAACAAATAAGTATTGAATTTTGTTATTAGTTAACAGATTATGCTACTTATTGTTAGGGCCAAAAATCGTCCTTGGCCCAAATAGGGAAATAGGGCCATTAGCGAAGATGGACCAGGCCCAGTCCTGCAAAGGCCCAAGCCATGTTAGTTCTATTTTAACATGGGGTATAAACCGGCCCAAATCAAGCGAGCACAAGCCTCTCAAACCTGGCCCATTCCCTAGGTCCACGGACGAATCTAGAGCCCATAGCCCTTTCATAGAACTTTCCTACTCCTAATCAACCTCCTATTCTAAGACGCCTTCCTATTCCTGATCGCTTTCCTACTTAGCGAATTCTCCTAAACAGGGTTACCTTCCTATTTGGACACTGGTAAGACAACTCACCACGACCCTAATTCTTCTAGGGTTTACATCGGAGTCACATTAGGACTCCTGCTCCCACCAGGATTGGGAGACCAGACAACCACTATATAAGAAGAGGCCAGCCCTCTCACAAAGGACATCGACATTACACCTTCACACCCGAGACTCTTTACTCGAGAGTTTCACTGATTCACCGTAGTCATAGTCCCCTACTAGACTTCCGGTAATCTCTTATTCCCTAGCCCTCACTATATTAGTCTCTTTCAGCCTTGCTGACTTGAGCGTCGGAGTGCCTACGGCAAACACCACCTCGGTGTTTCCCGTTCGCTTCACGCGTGTGTTTCTCTACGTGTGCAGGTACAGCAGATCGCTAGTGGCCTCAACCTCACGGGATCAGACTCCTCTTTCCGTACAGGTAGATTTTTACGTCTACAGTTTGGCGCCCACCGTGGGGACTCTAGCAATCATTCGGCGTGACGAACCTTACTACGTGGAGGAATATTCCATGGCTGACAATCCAGACGGCGTTAACTCAGGCCTCGAGGCCAGACTGGAGGCTTTGACCACCCTCATGCAACAAAACTTAGACAAGGTGGCCGCACTGGAAGCCGAAAATACATCCATCAGGGTCGAGAACCAGTCGCTAAAAGAGAAAGTAAGTCGATTCTATGAACTCGAGTTTCTGCCCGACCAAGCACCCCCCAATCGGTTCCGCACCATTATCCCATCCATGCAACCCCTCTCCACACCAGAGCATCAACCCTCGGATTTTGGTAAAGGGCCGCGTCCGCTTAACGCATTGGCGCTCGACTACTCCGTTCTGACTAACGGAGATAAAGATACAATAGGGCGCGGTCCAGTCTGAAAGATTCAGCATGCATGAAGAGTGGTGGAGATGGAGAATGAAAGCATGAAAGCATGGATTAAAAAAACGGTTTACATGCAAAGCTTGGATATGAGATTATACCTACTCCTTTGCTTTGGATTGATGAAGATTAGCTTCAAAAGGATGAAACCTCCACACTTTAACACCACCTTGAGAGGATTAGAGAGTGGCCTTGGCTAGGGAGAGAGAGCTTTTAGTTTGTGTTTGAGTGAACAAGTGAATAATGAACAAAAATGCAACCTTTTGCACTTATATATACTTGNTGTGCTCACCCCGTTATTTTCCTTTGTGGATGCAGGTCCTAGGTGATGAAGCAGTCGGAGAGGCGTCGGCAAGCGAAGAGGAATAGCTACACTGTTCCCCTAATTCGTCTTTTAAAATGCATTTTTGTAACCAGTACTATTTGTGTATAAAAGACATATGTATTATTAATGAAAAGAAACTTTGGGCCCAATTTTTTATTGCAATTATGCATGCATTGTACTAGTTTTCAGTAGTTGTTACAATCATCTCTTGTATCAAATTTTCAAATCTGATTGCCTATTTTCTTAAATTTTGTATTTATTTCTTGTGGCTTAATGTTGACAAAATTCTCATCCATTTTGGCCAGCAAAAAGACATTTCAATTGTCGCTAAGCACTATCTTTTTTTATCTCGTTCTTGACTTAATATTAACTTCACTTCTTTGTCGGAATAGGGGGCTGGAGGGCTGCCCTGGTATTGGCATGGTGGCCACGCACAGTGCATACAGTGCGCGGAGTGGCATTTCTAGTTGCTTCTCTCTTTCCTAGGGAAAAACTTCTAGTTGGTGGGCAAGCAATTTGAAAAACATTTATATTTTTTTAGTTTAATAAGCTTAAGCTAGGTTTAAAGCTTTCCTTGTGTAAGCAAACCCCCATTAAGGATATAAGAGTGTTGGCAAGGCTGGACACGCACAGCACCCGCAGCGTTACACGTGCTGTGCGTGGCCAGCCTTGCCACCACGCAGAGCAGCCCTCCAGCCCCCTAATTCTGCCACCTCTTGCCATCCCCAGCCCACTAAAATCCTAGAAAAAACCTCCCTACGGCCTCCTTTGCCTTTCCCCATCCTTTAGAGCCCAAACAAAGCCACTCCACCAATGCCCGCCAACTGCTCGACAAAATGCCACAACCACCATAACAAAAAAACTAACCACATTCTCACAAATCAATCCATTTTCTCATCCAATTAAAAAAAAAAGTAACAAAACGTACCATTTCTTCACTGGCGTCCTTCTCGTCGCTTGATTTCTTATTGGCATCCTCCTTTTTAGAACCGTTTTTTGATTCTTCTCCCTATTCTGAAGCCGCAATTGTCTCCTCTGCTTTTGGACCACCTTCACTCATCGGATGATCCACCGAAGCGCCGTCTGCGACAACCTTTGAACTGCTCGCGCCGCTGGAGTCTATGATTCGGATTGGGGTTGGGTTTTCCTCCTCTTTATGAATGTCAGCCATAGTTTTATGTAAGGAAGGTTTAGGATTTAAAATCTACTAGAATTTAGGTACTGTGATCGCCGAAAATCGCAGAGAAAGGAATAGTTTCATCGGTCGTTTTTGGGCATATATTGTCGATTAAGCGATTTTGAAGGGTGGGGGGTCATTTTCAATTTTCAAGATTTAAACAACTTTTGTTAATTGTTTTTACCCACAGAAGTTTAAATATTTTCATTTTAACCCATTTTACATGTTTACTGCACCCTAAATATGCCACGTCAGCTTTTCTAAATTAAAAAAAATTCAAAAAGAATTTCAGGGTTATTTTCTTAAATGCAAACTTGGGATGTCCGGTGAGTTAAATTTTCTCTGGAAAGTGCTAAGCTGCTCTTAGAAGTTACATGTGAATGATTGTAGATGATCTAATGCAAAAATTGAATAATAAATGAAAGACGATTTTTAAATTGGTTTGGATGCTTAAAGCGAATCCTACATCCACTGTTATCTTATTTATGAGAGATTATAAGAGGTCGCGTATAGTGAACAACGAGCAGAGGTACAATAACTGATTATTCAGACATAATATCAAGTCAGTCTCTTTCTCGTAGGTTATCTTTGCTTTGAGAATATAGATTACAATTAAAATGAGGGTTTTTTTTTTTTTTAAAATCAAAATCTCGAAGATGAAAGGGGGAGTCCTCTTTTATAGTAGAGGAATTCAACGTAATGATTACAAATCAACAAGTGGGTAGGTGCCGCGCAAGTCCTTTATTGCCTCCCATTGGCTGATAACTTAGGATATATCCTCAAGTTACATGCGGCTTGGACAAGTGTGCAGCTCCTATTCATTCATAAATAAAACTGAATTTGCCAAGTT